ATGTTCCTCTCATGACAGCAGCTGCATCTTAGCGATCGGAAGTGGAGTTGATTAAGAGCATCTGCTCAGTAATCAGTGATCACTAATCAGTGATCAGTGAGCAGTGATCGATATTCGTATTTGGTTCAGTCGGTCATGAACGCTGCGCTTAGCTCAGTCGATGCAATTGTCTTTAAACGATTGAACAGCTAATGAACTATGCAGTCAATTGAACTTGGTTCATGAGTGAGTCGTTCCTTTGAGCTATTGAAAAAGTGATTAGATGACTAAATGATTAAGTGACTGACTTAAATAACAGAACTAGTCAACTTATATATATATATAGCTCTTAATGGAACTAGATATAGAATTTCCGGTTCAATTGAAAGCTGTGAACTATGACTATTTTCGTTAGTATATTAATCAATAGCTCAAAAGAACAAATCACTCATGAACTAAGCTTAAATGAACTAGAATTTTCATAGAGTCGCAAATCCTTTCTGCAGATACTAGTCAATGCAAGTTCACTGAAATGAACTTTGTTCATAGTGATTAGTTCTGTTTATAAAACTTTTGATATACATGATTAATAAATAATTCCAAAATAATTTTTAATTTTTCAATTATTATGCATAAGTAATTTTATAATTTCTTATAGCTCCAATTTGGACTGGCTTTAATAATTGCTCAAACATAATTCCCATCTTTTCCTCTCTGTCGCTCTCTGAAATTTCTGCTATCTAAGCTGTCTGTGTATGCCAAGTACTTCGACCAACCTAACCTGCTCAATGCAAAAATAAAATGAGACCCTCAAACAGGATCCACACGCGTGCCCCATATATATAAATTTATATATATCATATATATCTTATTTATATATATATATATATATATATATATAGCTAGTTATATAGCACTTTTAGGTTCCCAACACATTTTTTTTGTCTCTGTCCCTGTCTCCGTCTGCTTTGCTGACGTTAACAATTTGAGCTGTATACAAGGTTGTAGAACATTATGCAGCTCATAAATTGGTCAAGTCTTGCTCTATATGTTCTGAATACTCGTTCACATTCGCAATACGGGCATATTAGTTTGTTGCCCAGCTCGTCATGCTGCATCTGGAGTCTGACAACTCGTTATATGCGCCGCCTTATTGATAGATCTATTAACTCCAATGAACAGCCTAGAGCAGCTGGATCGTGAGCGTGTATCATGCAGTCTGCAACGCCCTGCTGCAGCCATCTCATTTGCACTTTTTATTATTTTTCACATAAAACAACGCCACTTGTCGCATTGTCCGCGACCGAGCTAACTGCGCTCTATGTTGCTGTGCCCATCAAAGTACACACATATTTATATAGTATATAGTATATATAGTATATAATATTATATCTGGGTATATGTCGAGTGTCAAGTTCAAGGGAACTGCAGCGCTGTCTGTTTTGTAAGCTTGTTGAGAGGTAAAAACAAAAAAATGTAAAAATGCATTTGGAATTTTTCGTGAGCTTCTTTGGGGTTGGGCAATTGATTGAATGAACTTTGGGGTTTTCAATTGCTACCTTTTCAATGGAAGGAATGTGTGAAAACGCTGGCCACGATCGCGCAGGTCGATCAGGTAGATAAGTCATATTACTAACCAGACATGGGATACGGGCTATGGGCCATGGCTTCGACAACAAATATCAGGCGACAGACACTTGTTTTCACATAGCTCTTCTTATATGGAAACGCGTGTAATTCGAGTCCAGACTTACAGGCCCCTCTGGATGGGATTATATTTGGCAATTAGCTATACATGAAATGTATATATGTTCATATGCCTGAATCAATATAGTTAAAATGTTATCAAATGTTATAGAAAAAATAAATGAAAATATATACTCAAAAAATATAAAAAAAAATATATTTAAAGTTTTCAATTTGTTAAATGAAAGAAAAATGTAAAATCATAAAATATATTCAAGTCTTAACATTTTATAAAGAACATAGTAAAATATGAGTAGCAAAAATAAATAAAATAACAACTACTTATTTGATTTATTTTTTATTTAATAAAAAAAGTGTATATATTAAATAAATATTAACTCAAGCAATTTTTAAGCTCAGCTCTCACTTTCCTTATATCTGTGGAACCTTCATTCTAACTGTTTCTGTATTGCTAACTCTATAGACCTTAGCTATTTCCACTTAGTGATTTTGTAATTGCAGTTCAGAATCAACTTTATATATGTATATATCTACATCTGAACTGCAGCACACTTTAAGCAGACCGAAAAAAGTTTTTAAATAAATCTTAACCAATCTCAGCTATAGATCATATTTAGTGCTCAGCAACTCATCAGTATAAATAGTCTATGCAAACAATTCTAATGTATTTTCTTATATTTTTTTTGCGGTTCACTTGGGATTTTCTTTTCTTTTTCGTTTTTATCGAGCTGCATTTTTTTCTCACATGAACAACTCGTACATATTCCAGAAATTGAGTGCAATTGCTTAGCGTGTTAACTATGCCACACACACACCTACACACCCACACACACTCGTATGCAGTTGCAGCATACACCTGCCACATGCATTGTGAATTTATATTTTTGGTCTTCGTCGTCTGCGTTTTCTCTCTTCCTTTTCTTTTTCTGTTTCTTTTATTGAAGGCAAAAAGAAAATCTTCTGGTTTACCACACACGGAAAAGCAGCTTTTCTTCTTCTTGTTCTTTTCCTCCTGTGTTTTATTTGAATTGTTTATGTTACGATTTTGTGATTTTGGAATTTTTCTGATTTTCTGATTTTTCTGATTTACACGTCATCTGCATATTTGGTTAACAGATGGTTTGATCTAGCTCGGAGGCCTAGATTCTCGGAAGTCTTGGCGTTTGAACTCTTTGAGTTGAAATTTCATCGAGTGCAGCTGGAAAATGTGTGGAAACTACACTGCACTTAATTATTTTTATTAGCAAACAGTTTTTCGATTTATTTTCCCAATTTTTGCAAGCGTAAAGCGAACAACAAAAATTTCAAATTAATTTTTTCTCAAACTTAATTTTTTTTGTTTTGGAACATGCGTTCGACATGTGTTTCGATTCTTTGGACTCTTTTTGGGTTTTGTTTCATCTGGAAAATATGTCGTGTCATAAATGCGAACTAAAACGCCGAAAATTATGTCAATTCTATTAATAATCGCAAATATTGCTAAACAAATTAAGGATGTTTATAGTGCAAATGTCGCCCAAGAAGTTTTCCGAGAACTAAGCAGCGAAATAGATGGAAAAGAAAATATTCAAAATCTGAAATGCAATTTTAATGGGCACTCGAAGTGCCTGGAGGTCGCAAGCGAGCATTACGAAATAGGTTTATGTGCCCTGGAATAACTGCAGCATGGCTATAAACCACTCGATACGAACTTATGCCTGACTGCGCTTGGTTTTCCAAAACTAATATTTGCTTTTGAAATTCTTTGCGTTTACAGATTGAGATTGAGGAAGTGTTTCATGCAGCGACAAGGTCTTAAGTTAGAGCTGCAAGACTTAAGTCGATTGCAGCAGCATATGTATAAGGTATTTCCCATTAAATAGATTTAAAATATAAAACTTTTAAAGTAGATCTAGAGCCAAGTGCGCCAGTAGATCCATGTGGCTTCCATGTGAACAAATATCCATGGATGGAAAGGTAGATAAAAAGAGAGAGGCAAAACATAAATATAGATAGACAAATGTTGAGCCAGATCTAGAGACAATGCCTCAAGCAGATATAGAAGGCTGTCCATGGGTGTATCTGAAAAGGGATTCGCACCAGAAAACATATAAAATGTGATAACTGAAGACATTATTGATTCATATATAGAACTATATGTATAGGAGTGTATATCCTAAGAAAGATTCGTAAATCTAGTTGAGTTCTATGTGCCAGTATTTTATAGTATTTATAAAATACCGCAACTATAAATACATAGTATTTATTCCTAAACAATCGAATGTTTCGCTGTCGTTCGCTTCATTGACCGAGTTTAATAGACTTTTCAGGGGTAAGGAAAAGCATTTGCAGCTGCAAACAATGAAGCATATGTATTGTATATATATATATGATATATATAGGTAATACATACATGTATACATATATATATATATAGAGGATTATCTCATTGCTGCCGGCAATTGTGCAATTAAAGCAAACATTTAAGATTTCGCCCGGTTCGCCAAAGTTGCAAGTGTTGAACTGTTCCATGGGCCGTGGGGCACACGCCACAAGTTGCAAAACGCATTTGTTGTTGGCGTCTTTGTTGCTGCTGTTGTTGTTATTGTTATGGCTAAATCGGCAAAAAATATCTAAAGTGCATAAAGCATAGAATGCTGAAAGCATTAAGTGTGTAATATGATTGCTCTTAATTGAAGACTGCCTCTAAAAATAGTCGTTGCACAAACAGCAATTAACAATGCCCATTCGTAATACTAGCTGCACCGACCTCTCCCCTCTCCCCCTCTCTCTTACCCTCTCACTCGCTCAATCATAAGTGAATCCTTGAAATTCTTCGTACATTAGGCTGATATATCTTAGTCTCTATTTCAGAAATATACTAGCTTATAGGCAATGCAGTATGCTCGTAGTTATATCATTTGCTGTCGTTCAAGCTCCTAGTTAAGAGACAGATTTAGATACTGATCAGGAATATATAGTGTGCATATCATATACATATCACATGGCATTGCCTGCTTGTAGATTGTACTCATTCACTTCATCGAAGACCCCACTTGGAGCTGGGACACACATCAATATTTTCAATTCGAATTAGGACAGTTAACAGTTGTGTATGATATGCCTATGCACTTAAGTAAATCTATGGAACTCAATTAAGAATGATGACTGCTAATCAATCAAGGCAATCAAGGCTCGTTCCCCAGTGCGAAATTCAATTAGCGATTATGCATATATGTGTGTCCATCGTTGTCTCTCTCTGTTGCTGACGTTGTTCTATAAATATCAGAGCGAACTCAAATAAAAATACAACTTGCTCTGTTTCGACTCTTTAGGAGTGCAATACGACGCTGTGCGACTGCAAAGGCATCAAAGGACGCATTGGCGGCTATGGGTTGAAGGGCGTGCCCGGTCGTGAGGGATCGCCCGGCGATACGGGTCCAGCTGGACCGCCTGGACGTGTCGGCGAAAAGGGCGACTTCGGTGAATACGGCGAAACAGGTGAAAAGGGACATCGCGTAAGTCTCTCAGATTCTCGATATCCAATTGAAATATTGCGAGTATTCCCTTGCCTTTTTCCAGGGTGACACTGGCTATCAAGGCAAGGATGGCTTGCCAGGCGCTCCCGTAAGTCTCTCGTAAAGGCATAATCTATGAATAGCGCGTAAAGTTTCCGTATTACAGGGCTTTCCTGGTGATGATGGAACCGCCGGACCACGTGGTATCGATGGCTGCGACGGTCGTCCCGGCGCACAGGGCATAACTGGCAGGCCGGGCGAGAATGGTGCGCGTGGCCCTATGGGCAAGACAGGGTCACCTGGTGAAACTGGCGATGCTGGCGAGGGTGGCATCAACTCCAAGGGTACCAAGGGTAATAGCGGCGTGCGTGGATTAGATGGCGCTGATGGTCAGCCTGGTTTTCCCGGCCCTACCGGCTACAAAGGCGACATTGGTTTCGCTGGCGCTGAGGGCCGCAAGGGTGAACAGGGCCCACAGGGCTACAAGGGTGAGATGGGTATGCCGGAGAGCTATCCAATGCTGGTAGGCGTCGTGGGTGACAAAGGTGAGCCTGGCGAGGGTGAGCCTGGAGCTTTGCGCTATGATGAAACCCTCAAGGGCTACAAGGGCTTTGCTGGACCAAGAGGTGAGCGAGGTCCGCCCGGCATGGTTGGCGAACCGGGACCAGTTGGACGCAGCGGCCTGCCAGGCGCCAGAGGTGAAACCGGCGAGCGTGGAGAGCGTGGCAAGCCCGGTCATGATGGCGTACAAGGCAAACCCGGTGAAAAGGGCGTGAAAGGCTCACCCGGTTACAGTGGCGAGAATGGCGAAGGGGGCCGACCAGGCGAGCGCGGTGAGGATGGCTTCGATGGCACGCCCGGTGTTCAGGGACCCGAGGGTCCTCCAGGTATCTACGACCCTACCTTGGATAAGTCGCTGCCCGGCCCGACTGGACCACAAGGCGACATTGGACCAGATGGCAAGCCCGGCTTGAATGGTATACCTGGTAAACAAGGACGTCGTGGCCCACATGGACCACCCGGGCCACCCGGTGATGAAGGTCTAAGTGGCAATCGCGGACCACCGGGACGCAGTGAGAAGGGCGAACAAGGAGACTACGGCTTGATGGGTCCACCCGGTCCACAAGGTCCACCCGGCGTGGCGGGACCTCCCGGTCGCACAGGTTTCCATGGCAATCCTGGACTCGACCTCTACGGACCGAAAGGTCAAGCTGGACAGAATGGAATACCCGGGGCCGATGGCTATCGCGGAGATCGTGGAGAAGTCGGCTTGACTGGTGACAAGGGTTTGCCCGGTGAAGGTTTGAATATTGTTGGCCCGCCCGGCTCACAGGGTCCACCTGGCAAACGTGGCAGGCCCGGTGTAGATGGTGCACCCGGCTTCCGAGGATATCCTGGTGACAAGGGCATACGAGGTGATGATTGTGGCATTTGTCATGCCGGACCACGTGGCATCAAGGGCGTAATAGGCGATGCTGGCTATCCAGGCGAACACGGTGCACGCGGCATGGCTGGCATCACGGGCGCTAGAGGACCCAAGGGTATTCGTGGTAAGCCTGGTCCACCTGGCTATAGAGGCATCAGAGGCTCAGCTGGTATTCCTGGTGAGGTGGGTCGCCCCGGCAAGCAAGGTCCACCCGGCCGCATCGAGTACACCGGCAGCTTGAGAGAGAAGGAAAAGGGTGACGATGGCGACAATGGCCGACGCGGTGATCAAGGTCCACAGGGTGATCGGGGAGAGGATGGTTTGAATGGCTTACCCGGAGCTAAGGGTGAGCCCGGTCTTCGTGGCGACTTCGGTGATGCAGGACGTCCCGGCTTGGACGGACTACCAGGTATTGATGGACGCGATGGTAAGCCAGGAACTCCACCATCCACGCCAAAGTTCTATTTAACCGGCGAACCCGGCTACAACGGTAATAAGTAAGTGGAAGCTGCAGTAATATTGAATAAGTATTGTATGGGATTGTTTTTAAGGGGCGCCCGTGGTGACGATGGCAGCACTGGCTTTAAGGGCGACAAGGGTGAGCCGCATCCTGGTGAAATAATTGAGAACCGTGGCGAGCCTGGTGATGTGGGATTTCCGGGAGAGCCTGGCTTCCGCGGACCCAAGGGAGAGACTGGCGAGCCGGGCCTGAAGGGCATTGTCGGCGATATGGGAATACCCGGTGAAGTCTTCGTTGGATTACCTGGAGCCAAGGGCTATAAGGGCGAGAATGGTGACTATGGTCCACATGGTATGCCCGGTAAGCCGGGAAGAGATGGTGAGCCGGGTTTTCCAGGCTTGAATGGCCAAAAGGGCTTACGTGGCGAGCCGGGTCAATACATTCTTCCCGGAGAAATTGGCGTTCCCGGCCGACCAGGCATCAAGGGCATCATTGGAGACGAAGGACCCATAGGTTATCCTGGTCCAAGGGGCCCACCCGGACCAAAGGGCATCAAGGGAGTTATTGGTGACGATGGCCTCGAAGGCCTTAAAGGTCTGCCCGGTAACAAGGGACAGCGTGGTGAGATTATCGTGGGACTCCCAGGACGACAGGGCGAACCTGGTCGTCCTGGCAGCATTGCCCTACATGGCATCAAAGGTCAAAAGGGTGAGGTTGGCTATCGTGGACAAGTAGGCCAGAATGGCGCCAAGGGCAGCATTGGATTCCCAGGTCGTCGCGGTCCCATTGGTGATGCAGGTGTACCTGGATTCCCTGGCGAACCAGGACCCTCCGGCCTGACTGGCATACCCGGCGAGCAGGGCGAACGGGGAGACATTGGATTTGACGGACGCATTGGAGATTTGGGTCCACGCGGTGCTGTCGGCGAGTTTGGACTTAAAGGTTAACACGCCCAAACTCACTAAAATGCTGTAAATACTTAATGTTTAATATTGTGCAGGTCTGGAAGGAGAGATTGGCACCTTTGGTTATCCGGGAATCCCGGGTGTACCCGGCCAGAAGGGCGAGCAAGGCGATCAAGGTGTACCCGGACGTAGGGGCGCTAAGGGTGTCTCCGCTTACAGCGGTATCAAGGGTGATCAGGGCGACGCCGGCTGGAATGGACCTCCGGGTTACAATGGACCCATCGGCTTTAAGGGCGAACGTGGTGAGCCAGGTGATTCAATGCCCGCTTCGGATGGCTTACCAGGCCTAAAAGGCGAGGTGGGTGCGCCTGGTCGCAATGGATTACCCGGCTTGCACGGCCTGAAAGGTCAACGTGGTGACATTGGATACACTGGTCAGCCAGGAATCATTGGTGATCAAGGCAGTGATGGCCCAAATGGATATCCCGGACGCAATGGCCTTAACGGTCTCAAGGGTGAGGCCGGAGAATTAGGCATCCCTGGTTTATCTGGAGAATTTGGAGATATTGGCGATGTCGGCTATCCTGGTGCACCTGGAATACAGGGCGACGAAGGACTAGCGGGAGAATATGGTCAAATTGGCGACAGAGGCGAAATCGGAGAACGTGGTGAGATCGGAGATTCTGGTGAAGTGCTCTATATTGGCTCCCAAACTGATATGCGCGGCCAGCCTGGAGATAATGGATTGAGGGGCGAGCAAGGTGTGACGGGCATGCCCGGCATAACCGGTGACATTGGCTTTCCTGGTGAACGTGGACAGCAGGGTGATATCGGATTCGGGGGTCGTGCTGGCTTTGACGGCATACCGGGTCCCAAAGGTGTGCAGGGAGACAAGGGCTTGCGAGGTTTGCCCGGAGAACGACTTATTGCCGAACGTGGTGAGGAGGGTGACGTTGGCTACGATGGCTTGCCCGGACGTCCGGGTGACTTTGGCCAGAAGGGTGCACCTGGTGAGCAGGGTGAATACGGCTTGAATGGAGCTCAAGGACCACAGGGACCAATGCTCATTGGACCTCAAGGTCCGCCTGGAGATTTCGGCTATCAAGGCGTAGCTGGACGCAATGGCATGCATGGCTTAAGAGGCAGGAAAGGAGAGCGCGGCGACATGGGCCGCAAAGGTGACATTGGTGAAACCGGCTTTTCAATCTGGGGCCAACAGGGTGACATAGGCGACAGAGGCGAACAAGGTGAGCTGGGCAGGAATGGCTTAAAGGGCGAGCAAGGCCTCAGTGGACGGCCCGGTCGCACTGGCTATGTCGGCCTACGCGGACCACGTGGCCCCACCGGCGATGCAGGCTGGAGTGGCATCGATGGCGTTGATGGTCTGTCAGGCGAAAAGGGTGAACCCGGTGTCACCTATTCGTACACGTATGCCCGACCCGGCGATCGTGGCGAACCCGGCTTGGATGGCTTCAAGGGTGAACGAGGTGATGTTGGAGCCACTGGTCTGTATGGTGAAGCGGGTCTCCGTGGCGTGGTTGGCTATCGTGGAGATAATGGCGAGATGGGCTACCAAGGACCAGATGGCGTCCAAGGACAACGCGGTGACATCGGCGAAACGGGTCTAACGGGACGTGTGGGTCTACGCGGCCAGCCCGGCCCACAAGGTGACCCCGCTCCACCACCACCCCCGCCCAAGAGCCGTGGCTTCATCTTCACCCGACACTCACAGTCCGTGAATATACCCGTCTGCCCGGCCAATACGAACATGCTGTGGGAGGGCTACTCGCTTTCTGGCAACGTGGCCAGCAGTCGCGCTGTCGGCCAGGACTTGGGACAGTCCGGATCTTGCCTCATGCGCTTTACTACCATGCCCTACATGTTATGTGACTTTAACAACGTTTGCAACTATGCTCAGAACAACGACGATAGCTTGTGGCTATCCACAGCAGAGCCCATGCCCATGTCCATGACGCCGATTCAGTCCAATGACCTCATGAAGTACATCTCCCGGTGAGCAGAGACCAGACAAGATTTAACTAAATATACAATAAATTAATAAACTTATCCCACTCTCTAGCTGTGTCGTTTGCGAGACATCGACGCGCGTGATTGCCCTGCATTCGCAGTCCATGTCCATTCCAGATTGTCCAGGTGGCTGGGAAGAGATGTGGACAGGCTTCAGTTACTACATGGTAGGCCTAGCCCAATATAATACAATCAATCTCAGTATAAACTCCTTTGTATCGCTTAGACTACCTTGGATAACACGGGCGGCGTTGGCCAAAACTTGGTCTCACCCGGCTCCTGCTTGGAGGAATTCCGTGCCAATCCTGTCATTGAATGCCATGGCCATGGACGTTGCAATTACTACGATGCCTTGGCCTCTTTCTGGCTAGCTGTTATCGAGCAACAGGATCAGTTCCTGCAGCCACGCCAGCAAACCCTGAAGGCAGATCAGACCAGCAAAATCAGCAGGTACGTGGCTTATATAAGAAAGAGAGCTAACAACTGTAGCGTATTTCATTGGATTCCCTTCTTTAGATGTACTGTGTGCCGTCGTCGGGGCGACAGCTTCTACACTGTCAAGCGGACTTCTGCTACCTACTCCAGCTATAGCTCCGGCTCCAACTCTGCCTCCAATTCAGGCTTCAACTCGGGCTCCAGCTCAGGCTCTAACTCGGGCTACAACACTGGCTCCAATTCTGGCTCCAATTCTGGCTCCAGCTCGCGCTTCGGCTGGCGCTCCAATCAGGGCGCAGATTACAACTCGGGCGCAGGCTCTCGATCGGGCGGTGCAGGTTACGGTTCAAACTCTGCCTCCGGCTCCAAACCCGTCTTTAGCTCGAGCTCGTGGTCATCGCCTTCAACGGGAGGCAGACAACCAGCGCAAAACTCCTACAACACATGGTCAGGCGGCTATCCGGCAGCGGAATATCGTACGCAACCGCAAACATCGCGTCAGTCACAGCCACAGCCACTGCCGCCACCGGGCCAATACAATCGTCAGCAAACTTACCGCAATCCATATCAATATGGCGGCACGCGCCAATATCGTCGCTATCCACGCGATGACACCTACGCTCCTTAGATCCACAGCTCCGATTACGTACTAAGTAGCAGTAAAATAATAAATAATTATGTCTAAGTCGCTAACAGTACCCCAAATAGAACGAGATAACAAAATCCCTGCGCAGTGCCATTTTTCGAAGGTTCGCTGGGTAAAGATCAGCAAATCGAATCGAATAAAACAATAAAGTCTACAGATTATTTGTCTATCGAGCGGAGGCAAAGCTACTATAACAATCCACTGCCCCAATATGTAATTCAGTTCTTTTTTGTCTGTAGGGATTACAACTTAACACACACACATACACAAACACACATACACAAAGCGAAACAGAACCCAGTTTTTAAATAATAAAAATTTAAACGTCATAAAAGTAATGTGAACAATTTTTCGTATCTAAAAGCATTTTCTTTATTAAAAAGTTACATTTTTCCTTTCAGTTTTTTATAAATTATAAATGTTTCTTTTACACATTAACCAAAACTTCATTGCGTGATTCTAGGCGCAAAAATGTTAAATGCCATTTTACAGTACGTGTTAAACAAGATGCTGAGCAATAAGATCATACAGCATGCTTAACAGTGTAGCTGTTATAAAATTATTGTTGTAAGCACAGTCTACTGCAGGAAGTCCAAGCGAAGTATTCTGTTGACTTAAGAGCAGCAGTGACCGCTAGTTGGCAGCTTAACAGCTGCAACGAACGTTAATCTAAAATAGCAGAGGCAGCTCATGTAAAGGCACTATAAATAGCAGATCATGTAACCACAGCACATTTAACATGTTTGATCAAACTGTTTCTGTTAAACAACAGCTGCTGCCTATGTTAAATAAATAATGCCGGTATTCAAAGTTATTCAAAAACTTCTATTTCAATTCGGTTCAATTGGAAATATAAAGGCGTTGCATATACATATATTTGCTATTTGCTTTATCAGCTATTAACAAGTATTAAGCTTTGTCTGTGTGTTACATAATTTGATATAAACTATATAAATCAGAGTGCATACATACACTAATACAGATTTCTAATTATATATAAGTCATTATATATGCCACACTTGGTACCCCGATGCCCGTTAAAAACACTTTCACTCATCATTATTTATACTATATAGCTTTGTAGATGACACAGATACACATAAGAGCGGTAGTACAGCAGATAAATCGTTAGATAAACAAAGATACTATTTTACGTAACGCAGAGACAAGAGTTGAGTTTAATTAATAACTAAATATCCACGTGTCCAGTTCCTGTTGTATTTAATAAATCTTGCTTCTTTATAGTTTGTTTGGTGTTCTAGTGGACAGCAGACGGCGCTCCATCTGTCCCGTCTCTGTAAATATCGATAAGCTACTATTATTTAACAAAGTCGGGATTCTCTTGCACGTTGTCGGTGAACTGTAGTTGATTGTCGATGATTTGGAATAGCACCTCCGGGGCGGGAAAACGCCCCGTTTGTATTTTCGACCAAACAGGCACATCATTTAATGTTATCTCAAAGGCTCCGGATGAAATGAGCTGCCCTTCGATCATGTTGCCCAGGAAGAAGATCATCATACAGGCATATATTTTGTTTGATTGCAGATGATTCCACCAGCCAGGCGTGTTTAAGCCTAAACAGGTGAACGGACTCACAGATGTCACCACCGATACTATGATAATTATCTTTAAAGCAAATATTAACTTAGACAGATAATAATTTATGCCGGGCGGATCATAATTGGCGCCCACAATCTCAATCTGTGGATACTTTTTTACCAGTATATTTACATAGTCCTCGAACGCCTTGCGATACCCACAAGAATAGCTAAAGGAAGGGCAGATATTAAAAATTAGACATAATTAATGGTAATTAATTTACAGCTCACCAATAAAGAAAAGTCATTGTCGGCGCCACCCTCTGACCGAATTTGGTGGCCGGTATTTCCTTGCCCTCAAAAGCCAGCGCATAGCAGGCGCACAGGCATAGCACAAGCAGTGCTAAATTTCTACCATTTGTTGACTCCATTTCACGTGTTTAAATTGTAAAACTTTAGTTGCAAAGCAAAATTAGCAGCAACCGAAAAAAAATTTTATTTCTTATCTTCTTCTCAGTTTGCCATTCAGACGTATTTGTAAAAGATAGTAGAGCCTATCGATATATTGATTTCTATGATATTGTTAGCGATTGCTATCGAGTTAAACACACTAAAGTTTCAATTTATAATAATGTTATGACAACATTTTCAAGCAAGCAGTAAAATCATTGTTCAGCTGATAGTTACACATTTTCAATGCGCAATATTAATGTCTCTTCTTCCGCTGTGCTGTTCGAATGCATTTGATCATGCAGCTTGAGCGTGCATGGCATCGATTGGACAAATCAGCTGTTGTGACGTAACCTACGTGAATTCGAAAATGCTGCGGCGTGTAAATAACAATAAATAAAATTTAATATATTTGAATTAAAGCTAATATTTTTAATAATTACAGATATTGCCTAGTGCGCGGGTAGTGCTGCAAGTATCAAAGCCAATGGTAATTGCGAGTCGATGTAATACCTACAGTGTATACGAGCCGGATTATCTCGAGGTTTTTACTGAAATATGAATTTGAATTAAATAAATTCTAAATGTAACTTACTTTTCCAGTCCCTCAAGCCAAAGTTCCCGCAATACGAAAGCCTCAACGTGCAGATTAAGGGCTACGATTACCCACTCCTCGAGAGCTATCAACGCTTCCTCCATAGTGTGGCGGAATACCTCGATTTGGATGTCTCCGATTGCTACGCTTTGCCTCCACAGCAGACGCAAGTGCAACGCCTGCGACCCAATTCGACAGTCATTGAGTCCGAGTACAAGCTGACCACCTACGAACGCAGCCTGCTTCTAAGCAATGTGGACGCACCTGTTTATCCACAATTTCTAAGGATTGCACAGGCGGCCCTTCCAGAGGGCGTTCATCTGACAGTGGCGGAGCATACGGATGAGCATGATGAACGACGCTATGTGCCCGACAAGGATCTGCTCGATCTCAAGGCGGAACTAGAGCGCATGGGCGGCGTTACGCCCAATAAGAAAAAATAATAATTAGCACACATTTGTCATTTGGCAAAAACATTTAAAACTAGTTTTTATTTTATTGAATAAATCTGTAAAAATCGTAGAAGGGAAACATATTTAAAATAGAAACTTTTCCTATTTAAAGCTTTGCACTAAGTGGACGGCAACGTTTACACATGGAAGACGAATTCTTAACTATTTAAACTAAATAAATTGCACTACATAATAAAAGCTTAGACGACGCCAAAGTGAACCACTTTGATGGAGGACGAAGAGCTGGATGTTTGTTTGCTGTTGCTTGATGGCTCCTCCTCGCCTCTCCTTCTCGTTGGCGGCTTACTGACATCTGCAGAGAATAATATATCAGCTGGCTGATATCATATGTATGCGTGGATTTTACTCACTCGTTGTGATGGGATTAAAATCCTTTAAATACTCATCATTTGGATGACATAGCGGTAAACTATCCGCTAGTTCCTTGCGGGGATTTGTTAAATGTCGCGCTGCTGGCCGGGAATACCCATTACGTTTCGGTGGCAAAGGTTTCTCTTTGCGTGGTATCTCCTAGTAAATAAAAAAGAAACGCTGTAAATGGAAGCTAATAGGTGCATATGGAACAAATTACCGGCACAACAGCCACCTGAATAGTGTCCGAGAACTTGACTTTATTTTTTTCCACCGGCGTGCTCTTTACACTGGGCGTCTCGCCATTAAGCAGCGGAGTTGCTGCTGCTGCGTTTGAGAGTATGGAAGCGGTTGGCTTTTTAAGTAGCAAACGTTTTTGATGCTCCTCATTACCCAGCGCTGGCAGCATAGCTGGAATATTCCCAGAGACAAGGGGATGCTGATAGAACTTAGGCTGATGATATGGCAGAGTCAACTGTGAGCCATGCTGTGAGGCTTGCTGAGAGCCAATCTGTGATGTGAGTTGTGAGCCTTGCTGTGGATGCAGAGACGGACTGCCAGGCAACGATAAGGGCAATGGCAGGCCCACTGTCTGATCCGGCACATCCTGCGACCAGTCGGCGCCTGCAAAATGTAAATTTCATTTAAGATTACAAATTCAATCAAGATCAAGTTTAGCCATCTACCATTCAAAGTTGTTTGCTTAGCTGCTGAATGACTGCCCCCTTTTGTTGATGTATTTGTCGTGGGTCCACTCAGCTTTGGCGCTCTAAGTTCCATCAACGCTGGCCGAAGCTCAGGTTTAGGTATATTAATCTTAATCATTTCAGCATTAAAAATCTTTGATTTAAACGAGGGCAAGGGTGGCACATAATTTTTCAGAGCAGTCTGCGGACTGGGCGTCGTGTAGCTCAACTGCGAGCATGCAGAATCCGGACGCAATTCGCTGGCCAAAGTCAAGCTAAGATTGCCTTGATGATCGCCATGGATGATAGCAGCAGCCTGTCCAAAAGCAACCTGAGCGAATTCACTTAAGCTGGCAATGCATTTGGTCAAGTTATAAAGGTCCATAAACAGATCGTAATCCGCTATGTCATGGGCTATTTCAAAAGCTTCACTAAACTGATTTTTGCTGTGGAGCAAAGGGAAACCAATTAATTGAAAAATATTTTGCATTTTTCATATTCTGTTGCTACTCACCGCATCAAAAAGAAGCAAAAGCGTCGCTTTAGGTCATAAACCTGATCGCTAAACTCATCCTTGGTGTCCTCAGAGAGCGTGTGTGCAAATGTGCTAAGAGCTCTAGCCATTAGATCGCAGCGCGGACGTCGCTGATCAGATGAAAAGAAAACGTAATTCGCAATCTTATGCAGAGTGATCAGACACATGGCTCCATAAGTCTCCCAGTTCAGAGAGGCAAGCACATTAACCGCTCGCTCCGGCTGCTGCAAGCGCAAATATTTGTCTGCTATAACATCAGCCGTCAGTCCTGAATTGTGAATATCGCCACGCATCCCGGCGCCACCAAAGAAGCGCAGACAACCCAACGGACCATTCTCGTACAGCAAGAGTAGCAAACAGTCCGTTTGCGCATATTTGTGAGAGAAGTTCGCCAAGTCTGGCTTGCGACTGAAAGCTATGCTGAGTAGCGTTGGCTGCGTCGCAAAGTAGTGCGAGAGATCCAGCAAATTAGTTGGAGTTACACTCTCACTCAACAGCTGATTTCCAATGGGCGACAGAGCCAGATCAAAGCACTGCAGCACGGAACGCTCATTGGATACACAGAGCAAAGCTGAATCGCAATGCCAAGCACACTGCGTTGGCACAATTTCGATTTGTTTCACGTATTTGGTTGTCTGCAGCACCAGATCATGCAGGCATATATTCCGGTCAATGCTGCCCAAGAAAAGTTTCTCCTGATCCGGACTGAAAGCGAAGCAACAAATCTGCGTTCCCATGGCAATTGAGGTAATTGCAGTGCGTTGCATTTTGCCCGTTGCTAATTCATAGGAGCAAATCTCAGCGCTGATGTCGCCCTTACGCGACACTTTCTGTTCGAGTGTGATGATTTGATTCTCTGAGCTGCGCAGAAAGTCCACGCAAAGTGGATCATTCTCCGACCAACAATAGGCCAGCGATTCCAGTTGCAAGCTGCAGAAGAGTTCGAATCAATTAAAAATCAAGATCAATTAAGTGGAAGTTATAATTACGCTTTCAGCTTAAAGATATGTATATTGGCGCGATCCTGATCCCGGATGGTGGGTCGCCAGGGATACACTTCGTTCTGCGAGGACTGTGTCCAGACCACAAACAAATCTCTGCTGCTATTCACAGTTAGATGACGTGCCAATTTCCGTTCAGATGCGAGGCCCGGTATAATAACATGAAATATACGAGGCTCCATATTCGCAATTTTCTCCGGACCGAGGGGTCGAGCATTGGGTCGTTGCAAATGCACCACAGTCAGCTGGTTGGTATTGTAGGCCAAGACGATGTGGGAGCGTGTAAAAAAGGCTGGCAAAACACAAAAAATAGAGACAAGACAAAGTGCATAAACAAAACATGAGCATTAATTATAAATTACAATAATTGCATGTGGAATGTGCAGCTGCTGTTGCTGTTGCTGCCGCTGTCGCTGTCGCTGTCGCTGCAACTACGGCTGCTTTTGCTGTTGCGCTGTGAGAAAGTCGTTAAAAATGCAAATTTCTCCAAGCAAAGCACACGCACAGCTGCAAAACAACTTCACAACTAACTCACCATCAGTAATCAGCTCCCCGGCCAGCTTGCCAACGAGATACTTATCAAATACCATGCGCAATATATCGCCCGTATAGATGTCGACACAAATGTGAGCGATAATTCCATTGTCAAACAGCAGCAGCACCTGCGCTGCATCCTGCCACTCGGAGTGCGTAAGCTTGTGCGTGCGCAGCAGATCCTCCAATTTCTTTAGATTATCTTTCAAGCGACCGCCAGCCTTGCGGCTGTTCTTCAGAACAGCTAAACCATTACGACGCTCCGTATAATCGCGTTTCGACTGCGCCCTTAGCTCCTGCGAGACTTCGCGTTGGCGCTGATAACGGAAGGCGCCCAAATCGCTGCATTTGATGCGCACTTCGTCGCGCTGAGTTGTCCAGAAGTGCAGCTCGCTGAGCAGCATTGCAGCGCATTTAAAGCATGGCCTCAATCGGGAGCACAAATGGAAATTAACATTCAAATCTGGGGTGTGGACCACAAATGAATGTCAACGATTAGATTTACTGGGGCGAAGCCGAGTTACAGGCCAAGCGAATGGCGCATGCGCAACGTTTTAAATCAGCTTTTAGCAGCACTGTTTCAATTTCTGATATCACACTTATATTGAAGTATCAAATTTCTTAAATAGTTTAAACTATATTTTGTTGTTAGCAAAAATACGACGCACGCAAACGTAAACACTGAAAATTGGAGTTTTTAGTGATGCGATCACTTGTTGCTGTTTGACGTCGATAGGTGCTATCGATTTGCTATCGCTGACTATAACATAACATATAACATAACCGAAGTCAACTAACAGAGACAAACTTTGAAATAGCTGTTAACGATTAAAATTAATAATCAAGTTGAGCATGCGCAGCGTTCAAAAACAGTTATTAATAGTCAATGTTTCAAAATTAGCTTATATGTGTTATGGATTTGTTTTGAGGTTTGTAAAATCTGTGAAAACTAAAAATTGGAGTTTTTAGTGATGGTAGCTAACACTTGTTGACATTGGCGCTCTATAGGAGTGCGTGTGCAGTGTGACCGTAAAATAATTGAAAGCGCCAAAATTTTTATATTTGAATAATGTATTCTCATCTCTCATCTTTTAATTCCTATTACAAAGCAATGCTCAAGATCATTTGAGTTTTTTTTAATCTAACTACAAATTAAGCCAATATTTAACATTATTTATAGCCCCATAGTGTTGGGATCATACGTGTTGGACTATGTGCCATAATTCGCAGACATTGTCTTAGATTAGATTAGGAAAACTCTTAAGCGAATACCCATTTATTAGTTATCAACAATGTTTATTTTTAAACAAAAAATTGTATTTATTGATTTCACCATTCAATTAAGATTGTTATCAAATATTCACAGTACTTTTCTTTCGTTCTTTGCTCGTTTTTTTATCAATTAAATACGATTAAAGGCACTATAAAATATATAGTGGCATCATATATATGTATATAATAATCACTAAATAAACAGCAACGTATCGTTAAATAACTAAATGTATAGATTAATGAATAACTAAAATATATATCGCATTTGAGAAAACTTAACACAACAAATTACGTATACGCTGCGTGGTGCATACCGATATTTTCCTTTTCTTTAGTCATATATATTAAATAAGATTAATGTACATGTGTTTACATAGTTATGTATATATATATTTTTATTTATTTATATATGACGGCGGATTTGCGCGCCTAATGACTGCGATCTGTTGTTATTACTACAGATTGTGCTTACTTAAAATTAAAAACTAGGAAGGCAACGAGATAAATTATATTATACGCAGTTTGTTATATATACAGATATATATATATATATATATATATATAACATTTCTCACATTTATATTTTCTTCAACTATAATGTACATGATAAATATATATTTATATATGTTTATTTATGTTTGGAAGTATTCTATAACTCTATATACAAGTCAATTTATATATCAAAATATCAATCGCTTTTTAGGTATATATATTTTTATATATATATTAACTTTTAACTAATTAGCCTTTTTGAACTTGAATAACGCTTTCGAATCCTTTTACAACTCAAGTGAAATCATTTACTTTAGATATTTTGTTTTCTTTTTTTTCTTATTTTGGCCTTGCTTTTCTGCTATTGTATAACATATGTAATTCGTGCGTTCAACGTTTTTTATGTTTTGAAGTCTCTAGAGTTCGTTGCGATAGCAGCTAATTAACCAAAACTTTTCAGCTCGTTGGTTAACTCGTCTAGAAAAGCATAAACAAAAACCAGATTTAAATTACAATTACAGTTAAGTTTGCTGCAGTCGCTACTAAATATATATATACGTATATACATATATATATTTATGCACAGATTGGGTTTCCTCGTTGTTAACTAGTCGGCCCATCCGTCTGGGTAGGCGGGGCATTAAAGGTGTTTCCTTAAAAATCGTAAAACTCATTCGATTTGTTGTTAAAGCGTCGCGTCAACACATAAACCACCGCCTCATAGGTGGCCATCATGATCGCCGTATTGGGTATCTGTCGCACCAGCTGCGTGGCCAAGCCTCTGCAAAATACACAAATTTAATTAGTTAATACAAATATTGAAGAGTTTCGAGTACGAGCGAACTCTAAATATTTAATATACATATGCGAATATATATGATATGTAGATATATATAGCAAGCGAGTGATAATGAAATTGAAACAAAATGCGTCGCAAAAGATATTTTTATATTTTTTGCATATATAGCTAGACCGACCAAAAATCGTGGGTGATTCGTTATGATAACAAATTAGCAGCTACCAACGAAGAATTTCACTCAAGTCTGCGCTAAATCATAAAAATCATATATATGTGCCAAATTTCAATTAGAATTAATCCATCGGGAACAAAGCTGGATAAAGCAAAATAAACTATAATCATTGCAGTTCGAATTATGAGTTAAGTTATTTTGCTGGCGCGAACTTAGGTTTGTAGTCTTGTTTTTATCTAAAAATTATTAAATTATTATAAATCAGTTCAATTTATGTAAGAATGACTTTAGTGAAGGCATTTATGGGCAATTTGCAGTTCCTTTTGCTTATCAAAGCGAATTCATGTGGAAAGCAATTTAGAAATTTTGGCTTATAAATAATAAAGGGCCTTCACATGGGTGTCATTTTCTATTATTTTCTGAGCTAATCTGAGATTAAGGGTATTCCATGGAGACATTAACAATATATAGATTTGATAATCTGAGACTTGTGTAAGAAAATCACGTTCTTAAAGAGGGGGAATTCCTTGAGAAGGTTAACAAGCTATCTCTCTTTGCTAATCGGGTATTTTAAAAGCAGGGGGAACTCCACGAAGAGGTTAACAACAAGTTTTTATAGTAGAGCACGCACCTATACAGTCCGGCGCGTCCCTCCTCCTTCCACACCGTGTGCAACGTTTGCCAGAAGGTATTGTATTTGTTGCCCTCCTCGCGTAAACGCGTTCGTGCCACCTCATGGGGATAAGCAATGCAGGAGGCAATTGTTTTCGACACAGCGCCAGCCATCATGAACTCGAGGAAATCACGTGAGCTCTTAGTATCCGTGTGCCGCTGATTGCGCTGCTCCAACTGTGAGGGAACACGACATATTTACAAATAGATAGTTTAGAGAGCCTTTCCAAATGAATCTCAAGTGAATGCATACCAGCTTCGACTTGATGAACTCGTAGATGACAAAGTGCACCATCGTCTCGCAGATGCCAAAGTAGCTCGCTGTGATGCCTTTGTAGAAGGCCGCAATGCCGCCCTGTGCATAGACCCGCTCGATGCACTGCCTCACCGTCATTTGCACCTTCGAATTGTAGTCCAGCTGCAATCGCGTCTTCACAAACCAAATGGGATTCGTTGCCGTCGATGCGACAAATCCAGCGCTAGCAGCGCTCATGATGTGAACCAAGGGCGAATCGCGCTCAACGAAACTACAAATTGAAAGAAAACCATCGATTAAGATCATATACTATCCATATACACATAGACTCATAATATAATCATATGACTTCCTAGGAGATAATACTTTATCCTTTAAAGTTTTAGCAATTGCTTTCACTTACCCCAAACTGTTGAGCGAGTTCTTTGTCTGTGAATAGGTGCAGAAGTATATGGCACGCGATGGGGCTACGCCCACCAAATTGGGTCCAAGACCTTTGAAGAGAGCGCGGGGACCTTCGTTTTGTACAATGTATCTAGATAACAAAAAGATAATTATGCAATTAGTATTGAAGAGCTGCAAGAATTAATTGGAAATAGTACATTTTGTAATCCAGTGTTGGACAATGTGCCAAGCTGAACTGAAACTAGTTCAATTTTGTGCTTCATTAAGTTCGAATAAGTGGTTCCAGTGCAAAATAACTTGAAAGCTATGCTAGTGACATGACGTGATCGATAACATTTTCGATATATTTTCGTTGCCAAATTTAAAATTGAAGTTCAACTGGAAAAACAGTTGCGGAAATTGAGAAGAGACGAGCACCATGAGTGTGTGCCTGCACAATCGATAGCAAATGGGATTAGTGATGACACTCGTTCGATAGTTTTTCTTTCAGTTTTGCCTTACTACTTTCTCTCTACTTACCGCAGACACTGCATGATGCTCATGGATTTTGTGGTAGTCGAGGAGATGCCGCAATGTGATATAGCCATAATCTGTAAAGATAATAATCGATTAGAATTGCGCGCCTATCGATAAGTGGTAAAGCAATGGACATGAAGTAGTCGAGCACTCGATGAAGATTATGAATAGTGAAATGGAGAGGCATATTGAAATAATAATAATAAGAATTTGGTACTACCCTACGCACACCCCCAATCACCTGTGGCTGTGATCTGTTACGTAATATCGTTGTGCTTAGCTTACGTCGTTGTTCCGGCCGCAACAGCTCGGAGGCGCCACCATTTGCCGGTCCGCCGGCTGGCTCAACAATACGCGTCGACGTCGCCGTCGGCAGAAATGCCGTCGAGCTCTGCAGACGCGTCTTGACCACCTCCAAGGGACATGTGACCACAGCGCCAACTGTGCCAGCGGATCTGCAAGCAAAACCAATGAAAAGATAAGATTAGATATGTAGGAATACCTTGGAGCTTCAAATATATATATATATATATTTGACCTAGCAAGCTTTTGGTTTACCTATAAGAAACTAAATACAATTAGCTTATTGAACACTGTGTGGAAGTTCTATGGCTGGGATATATCTCTGAGTTCTTCCCAGGGGCTCCTATTGGGAGCTTGAATGTCTAAATTTACTGGGATCTTTACGGATCTTGCAGCAGAAGCAAGGATGCAGGAATGCTCTATTAAAATAATAGAAGATTTCTATTTTCTCACACAGTAAATCCTACGCTAACGAACCTAGTTTGAATTTTCAGTCTGTCTCTTAAACCTATCAAATATGAAGTCTAAAAAATGTAAATCATAGATTTAATTTTTATATTTAAAAGTGTGAACTACGCTAACAAACCGTGACAAAAGGAAACACACTATTCTTAGGCAAATGGAAATCTTAAATTTTTGACATGTGTTCTATAAATATAATACAGTGAAATACAGTAAAAACTATGCTAACGAACCTGCTTGCTTTACTTCTTAAACCATTGAAGCCAATGGGAATTAGCTATAAATATATAATGCCGCGATAGCTTCTAGATGTCTACATAGCGAGCTTTGACTGTACAAAATGTGCTTGGCGTTACGCAAATTGTTGAAATTGCGATCAGAACAAATATAAAACGAATTTTACCAAATTGAACACAAAGATAATTATTCTTTTGTAGCTAGATTCTATATATATAGCTGACATATATCTATGTATTTATTTACGTAAGTATATCCACTTTTCGCTGTTGGAGAGCTTTTGCCATTATAGTTTGATTGATTTATGGCTAGCATATGAAATCGATTTGGCTTGGAATGCACTTTGTAATGCATTAAAAGTCAAAACTCTGACTCGGCATATAGAATATAGAATCAATTATAAATGATATCATTAACCATGCTAATTTTGCTTTGTATTACCCTGAAAGGCTTGTAACTCAATTGGCCTATGGCGCAGACCTTACCTAGCACATACTTTTCGAATTCTGATAAGCACATATAAAAAGTCTATTCTTATCGCCGTCTGGGAAAACTGCCAAATTGACCCCTGGCAAGCAGAAAAAACGTGATACAATTAAATTATTGAATGATTGTATAATTCGCATTTCTCATTTCTGATTTCCCTTGACAATGAGTACGATAAACAAGAGTAGGGACACAGAAAGAAGACCCTTTTTTCGCCTTGTTTCCATTTGTCATTTGTTAATAAAACAAAGTAAATCGGAGCGAAAGTTTGATCGATGAAAGGATGGAAGGCGGCGATGTCGACAACAAACAAACAAACAAAGGCAATTTAATGAGTAGCACAAAAGTTTAAATAAACACTGATACTATGTATATACATAAGAAATCAGATAAGCATATATGCTATATGTATGTACTAAAGGAAATGCTCATCACAGTACTTAAAAGATTCATACTATATTATGTAGATATATCTGTTTTTGTGAAATCAGACGTATCAAGCCACAAGAACTATATATATATACGCGATCAAGGCGATGAGCCGACGTAGCTATGCCCGTCTGGCCGTCTTTAAAGCTCAGCGCTTAGAGTATCTCTGAGTCAGGCAGAGTATCTCTGGTAAAGAAACTTTATTAAAATTAACGTTTTCATGTGTCTATCACCTGATATCTTAGATAGCGGAAGACCTTTACTTTTGTATTCTATATACACATATACATATATATATAATATGTATTCCAGTTGTCTTATAAGAACTGTCCCACATTATAGACACTTATCTTATCAAGAGTTCAGTGCATTTAATGTCAATCATGCAGCAGATCAGAGCCCTCCTCGTAGCAGCTGCCTCCCTAGGCAATATAAAAACTAGTAAACAATTTCACAAATCTGTTTCTGATTGCAGCAGGGGCTACATGTAAACCGGTTTTGGGCGGCTAAGCGCTGACCCCAGCGCTGGATGATAACCCGCCTCGCCTCTACGGAACGAAATGCCAATGCCGGAGCTTATCAGTCAGCCAGACGTTATTTGACTTATATATATATAGAGACAATATAGAATACATATAGAAGAGATCGGAATCTGGAATCTGCCAACGGCCTGTGACATAATTGCGACCGACAAACCGCTGCAAACTCGTAAAAGCACCGAAACACGCCATATGTTTAGGTATTTGGAAGATGTGGAGGTATCGAAAGCTTCGCTTTGACCCTATGGGATCAGCCCACAACTACGCAATGCCCAAAGCAACAATGAGCGGTGCGAACACTAATTATTATTCAAATTGTATCAACCTATTAACAAGAAGTGCTGAAGCAGACGTCTATTGAATTTCGCCATTAGCAGCAACAGCAGCGGGCGAGAAATTAATAAAAATCAACAGACAGCTGGACAAACAAATGACTATATCCAATCATCTATTTGTATATAATTGTAAGTATATATATAAATAAAAGTCAGTCAGTGGAGTGCGACAAAATCTCATTGAATTGTCACAAATGATGAGCTGAACGCAATTTGATTGCAATCAAATATGTTTAAAGATCTAATGAATTGAATAGAATTCTAAAGAATTAATTGATTCGGATTCTTTACAGTAATATAATACATTTAATAATATCCAGTTACAATTCATCATTTGCGATGTAATTTTACTTAATATTCACTAACTAGTTAAGTGAGCTCGTATCATTTGCAAATTTGAATTCAAAGTTTTTTTGTAGTATATGACATATATCTATATAATGTATAAATATATTATATCTTATATAGATCTATATAACATGTATTTGCTGTTCTATCATCAGCAGACTTCTGTTTCGACTGCCTAAGCTATAACCATTTGAGAATTCTATGGTTTCAGTCTATCCAAAGCGAGCAAAACTGAGTGAAGCCAGCAGACATACAACCGTCTAGACATGAGTTCATCTAACTATGTATATTGAAGTAAACTTGACTATTTAGTCGTTCATGAACAATAAATATTCTTTAATTGCTCATGAACAGCAACGAACTAGTTCTTTTAAACCAACGTATTTAATAAACTGTTGAAATTTCCATAAACGAACGAACTAAGGCAAGAATTTTTTTGTGACCTATTTGAATAGGGTTTCATTCATCACTCAATAAGTTCACTGCTCACAGAACAAGTTCATTTGAATAGGTTTTTATTCATCACTCAATAAGTTCACTGCTCACAGAACAAGTTCATTTAGTTCACTTGTCTCTATGTGTGTCTAAATGCTAAGTATAATCACGCATTAGATTCAGGCTTAGTCGTCTCTCATTCCTTCCTTTTCCTTATATCCGAAATGTTTTCTTTTTCCTATTATAATTTTTGCCAATTATTATAATTTATTCTACGTGCTTTTCCATTATCTTTTATTATCAGTCTTAGTTAATGCTAAGATTAAAATCTTGTACTCCACTCTTATCGCACACCTCAGCCTGACCTATAAACAAAAACTTTCCATCGATTTCGTAATTTCGCATTAAAATTTGTTATCAAACAAATTTTTTGCGTGTCTGCAAAAAAAATTCTCGAGGAAACGACGTCAAAAATGCTGTGATAAGATTTGCCACCAACGGCGCAATTTATATATAAAACATGAAGATCTCTTCGGGAGTCAAAGTCGCTTGTGACGCATTGCTTTATCAGGTATAAAATGGCTAGAGCAAAGCTGTTATCAGAGCATGCCCGAAATTCGTGGCTGCCACCTGCCGGGCGCCATTCCTGAGGCTCGTTTGCAATCGCATTCACATTCGTCTGTCTGCCAAAAATAAAAAGAAAATTTCGACTCTTATCTGGCGCGTGTGGCGTATTACGATTTCCGAGCCGATTCAGTCAAAAAACAGCTAAATCGACCGTTAACCGGTTGACGGGTTTTTAATATATTTTCCTCTTCTTTTCCTTTTCTTTCATTCGAGCTATGCGCGGGGCCATTGAGTTCAGGCTTTATGTAGATATCGCAGTCTGCAATGTCCGCATTCGAAGGCAGTTCAAGAGACGACGACGAGGGCTGGATATATATCTAGCATATAGACATGCATATGGATATATAAACTTGACATTGAAAGGAACTAAATGAGCTTTGTCTGTGATTAGTGATTCAGCCAGGCGAAGCGTTTGTTGAACTTGTTTAGAGATTCATCAAAATCTATATCAATAGGTCATGAACATATTCTTGCCTCAGCTCGAACGTTCCATCAGTTCATAGTGGTCAATTGAGCTAGTCAAATGTTGTTTCTGAACAACTAAATACTAGTTCTGATTATAGAACTAGTTGTGATTATGATCATGAGAATAGTATCTCTGAGTTGGTACGTCTGCACCTATTTGCATATTCACAAATTCACAAATTCACATATTCACAAATTCACATATTCACATATTCACATATTCACATATTCACACACTCACATATTCACATATTCATATATTCATATTTGTTTGTAAATAAAATGTTCTTCTTCTGCCACAAACACAATTGGAATTTGTTTATCTAAAATGCCAAGTTTATTTATTAATTTGAGATGATACAGATATATATATATTCAGATATATGTATGCATATATGCACAAGCTGTTTCCCATTACTAATAGATATATATATATATATATATATATATACAGCGCGCCCTTGACATAATTTGCGCACATTTAAAATTTGTCAGGGTCGCAGAAGAAAAGAATCACAAAATTAATTTGGCTTTGTATAAGAATAGAATTGTGATTAAGGAACTAAATTATGTTTATCTAAATGATAAGCAAATTATAAACTATATAAATATATATGACTTAACAAACAGATAAAACGTTGCATACTTATTAAATTGTATTTAAACTAAGAACTATTTGACTCTGGATACATCATATTATAGCGCAATACATTTGATAGAGAATTCACATTTCAAACAACTTTGGGGGCAGTTCAAAGGCATCAAGAGCTAAGAAATGAGATTACCTCAATAGCTTGCGTACGTGCGTTAAAGCACGCAAACGCAACTTAACAAACCCAAAATGAAACATTGTCCAAAACAAAAAAAAGATGTATAAATCGAAAATCAAGTTTCGGTCAAGAGAAAATTTCATTTTGTATAGAAAACAATTTGACATGGGAATTTTCCCTCATTGGCTATAAATAACGCTGCCTGATCTATGTCAACTTATATATTCGTGTACATATCGTCCATCTATCTCTATTTATCTACTATCTCTCCTTATCGCGTCACCTCTCTTTCCAATCAATCTTCTATCATCTATCATCTATCATCTATCATCTATCATCTATCATCTATCATCTATCATCTATCATCTATCATCTCATCTATCATCTATCATCTATCATCTATCATCTATCATCTATCATCTATCATCTATCATCTATCATCTATCATCTATCATCTATCATCTATCATCTATCATCTATCATCTATCATCTATCATCTATCATCTATCATCTATCATCTATCATCTATCATCTATCATCTATCATCTATCATCTATCATCTATCATCTATCATCTATCCTCTATCCTCTATGCTCTATCCTCTATCCCCTGTCATCTATTATCTATCTATCGCCTTTTCTCTACTGGTTATCTCTATCTCCCTCTCTCTTTCTATCTCTAGCTCTGTCTATCACTGAATCTCATTAGCAATGTTGTTTATTTAGCTGCAATCGCCTTCAACTGAGTTAATGTGCCAGAAAGAGTTTATTTCCCTCCTCACCTGCCTTACAGAGGCGACATTCGACAGAAAACCAAAACAAATCGAATGCCAGGCCGCATTTGAGTTTGTTTGTTTTAATAAAAAGAAAAGTTGACAATAACAACAAAACAAGCTGCAAATATAGAGTGTGACCAGCTCTAAGAATACCCTGTAATTATAACAATCCTTTGTTCGTTTGGCGATTTAAGAACTGAACAGCTTATTAGGCTTATTATCATGTAAATACAGTTAATGCAATATTTTTATCTTTTTCTTATATACCTATGCAATCTATATACCCCTTTCAACACTTTTTCTAACAGGCCATAAACAAGATAAATAAAAATGATGGGCGCCAGCCAAATAGACTAAGATAAATCTTCAGCTATATCCTATACGCGAAAATATAACAAATAAGAAGAGTGCATGTATTATAGAAATATATATATATATTTACACAATCTGATAAGCATGTGCAAATTGCAACTTGAGCAATTTGCTTGAAGCAATTGTGAAATGCATTCAAGTTTAAAAGGGTCTTTGGTATATAGTATATATAGTACATACATATATCATCTATAAGTTACTGGCCTGTCACAATTTGTTTTAGTTTATTTATATCGATAATACATATATACGATCTGTGTGTGTGTGTGCGTGTGTGTGTGTGGGCAGCTGCAAGGTTGTTATTTTTCCATGCAGTTGAGCGTTTGTGACGTGTGTAAACACGAGATACTGCTTGAAAGATAGAAATACTTGGGAATATATATATATATATATATATATATTTATATATATATAGAATGAAATACACACATGGGCACCAGTTGTATAAGCAGCTCAAGTTACCCAGGGAGCTGTGAGGCAAAGAGAGGCAAATTGGCAAATGCATGTGCAACGTGAATTAGTTTTTCTTTTCTTTTTTCCTTTTGCTTAGCTTAAAGCTGTTTACATTGCGTACTTTATGTGCCAGTGCAGACTGTAAATAATTCTAATATACAGCTGGCTGGCTGGCCGGCCGGCCGGCCTTTTACATTCTAGTTTTACTGCGATTGAATTGTCCAAAATCATATATAATTCATATATTAATATATAGTTCTTATTCTTATGAACGAGTTCAATTGATCTCATGACCCTAGGAATTTAAGTTGAATAAGCTTTAATAAGCTCCATATCAATATATCGTAAGTGTACTTATAAAGATGAAATACTTGAAAATTAGTTCTTTCCATAGAGTATATAAAGTTCATGAGCGATTAAACTCTATACCATATTATATATATACTTCATAAACATATATATATGTATATATTATATATGGATAACAACAATAAGGAAATTCAAAGGAATTTAAAGTACCTTAAACGTTTTTTTATTGTATTGTATAAGTTCTGTTGATTCCTGCTTAGTTTTCACTATTTCTTGTTTACCAATAACAACAAAAAAAATGACAAATGTATTTAGCTAAGACCAAAAAAAAATAAAAGAAATAAAACGATTACAAAGCTAAAAACAAGCCTTCGCCTAATTTATTTACATTTCACGCCACCAGAGGCTCGACTCTTCGCGGCTCGCACAAGTAAACAGAAGCCGCTGCCCCAGTCCGACAATAACAAAAAAATAAAGAAATTTAAGAAGAAGAAAAAACCTGTTGACAAAACACATTGCCAACTGGACTTGAGCTGTAAATAAAATGTGCGTGAAAATGAATATGCCTCGCCGTGTGGCGTGTGTTGTAGAGTGCGCGATAAAACAAAAATAAATTAAGATGCAGATGATCTAAAAATAGCAAACCGCAAACAAGCAACAATAACAAGCGACAACAGCGTAATTGTTGCTTGTTATTTTAGTTCCCTTTAGCCAATTAGTTTCCCATTCAATTCGATTCCAGCAGCTAAGCACTCTGCCTAAAATAAATAATCAAATCGTTTATGTCTCTGCCCATTAACACATACACAGCATTTTTAACATTCATAATCAGCAGAAACAGAAAAGTTTTGAAAAAGTATTACTTGTACTGAAGTCTTATTGGACTTCAGTCAAATAAACTAAGTTTGAATGGCAAAAGCTGCAATCAGTGAGACGATGTGAGAGCGTGAGTGATTTCCTAGTGCCGCTACTGCTTAATTGTTTAAAGTAATGGAGAGGGAACGAGAGGGCAGTACTTTTGAATTGATTTAATTGAGTCAATTTTGTTTTGCAACTATAAAGCAATGTACATTGTACCAATTCTCATGTATATTATTCTTTTATAATTTTTCTAGTTGGAATTGCAATTGAAATATAGACAATTGTTTCGGGCGAATGGCAAAATGCTGATATGAAGGCCATTTCCTTCCCTTGCTTACTGCTGACATTTATTACTATATTTATTTATTTACTATTTAATATGAATTATTTTTGCGCAGCGTGGGACGCAACTTCGTCTACTGCTGCTGCTGCCAAAAATAAACTAAGCACGTGAACGCCGCATGATTTGAACAGATGATTGTGATACAAATACATATATATATGTATATGCATGTGTGTGCGTGTTTGTGTCTGGGTTGTTTTTGTTGCTTGTCAGCTTTGCTATGCTTTGCTTTCTATCTTTCTTTTTATTATATTTCTGTTTTTTTTTTTTTGGCGCCTATGCCAACTTTCGCGACTGCAGCGGGTCAAATTGTCTAATTGTTGTTGTTGCCCAACTACTTGAGCGCAACTGCGCCGTTTGCTGTCTTTGCTTAAAGATTCCAACTAAAACCGGTTTCTAAGTTTGCCGATAAGGCGCAATTCACAGTAACACAAATAACATACAAGAATCTTAATATGTTTTGGAAAACTTACGCGCCGGCTAGCAAATGTATCAGCGTATCACGATTTTGGGACATTATCGAACTTTGATTTTCCCTTAAAATGTTATTAACGAGCGCCTGTAGCTCGATGGCCTGTGAGGCCCCGAAGCCGGGGAAACGGCTGTGCTCCCAGCAATGGAATTTTTTTATATTCGCCGCTATTCGCTCTTTTTGGTTTTGTTTTGAATAAGCGACAATGAAATTATTATTGTAGTAGTGTTGTTTTGTTGTTTTTGTTGCCTTCGAACGTTCTTATTTTGGCGCTTATAATGGTCGCGGGGGTTATGCAACTGCAACAACAAATCTCACGGATTTCTTATCAAGCACCAAGAAATAAAATATTGATAAATATATCACCAAATTGAGCACTATTATAATTAAGTTACACTTTATTGCCTCTAGCTGGCTAAAATATGTATGAAATTCATAAATTATTTTTTTGCTTTGATTTTCGGCGATTTCAGCAATTAAGTCGAAGATAATACACACGTCTGTCCCGTTGGTTTCACAAAGTAGAACTGTAGGAGTGTTGTTGCGATATTTTTATTTGTCATCGACAGGAGCATATCGATAGCATGGCTCTAACGATAGTTTCAATGTGTGATCGATACCTAGCACGCAGTGTAATGTGATATTTGCCTTACAAATATGTGGGCACACTTCAGACAAAGTGGCGCCGATTTCTTCTGCGCTTAAATTGAAATAGGTTTTGTACGTTTTAATGTAATTTAACATTTATCAAGCTTTGAGAAAATATTTTTGTTAAGAATATATGCGCATTTGAAATTATTGACATTGGCTTTAAGTTGAATATTTTTACTAGTGTTTATTTAATGTTAAGTTTTAATGTTTTGCCTAACGAATTTTATGTTAATTAACAGTTTTTGCAAACTGTTATTGAACATGAAACTTTAAATAATTCTTTAAATAAAATAAAAACTAATAATATAATTATAATTACATTTCAAGCCCTGACACATGTCTCTCTCTCTCTCCCATTAGTGTAAATATCAAACCTTTTTAATATATTTTATGTATGGCCCTTGTTTTTGACCATATTGCCGTTGCATAAACATGTCCCCAATTGCAAATGAAAATAACTTTAATTGTCAACTGGCAAGTCAAGGTCAACAATTGTGGTCGCTAGCTGTGTCCCCAAAGCAGCTGTCGACACTGTCAATTGCTTTTAAATAATGCGGAAAAATGAACAACAATATAAAACTGTAGTTTTTTATATATGTATATGTATATATATTATAATTCCTTGATTTATGTTTATTATGGGCAAAATAGAGTTGAGGCATTTCGTTCACAATACGTTCAATAGAATGGTTCATTCAAATGAACCACTGAATGAGTTCAGTGAGCTAATAGCCGATATGATTTTGCTCGGCTATCGGCCATGAATGATTTATTTGTTCTTTAGCTAAATGATTTGTTCATAGGTTTATATTCTAAATAATTTAACCAACGAATAAAATAAATAATATAGTTAACGACTCGAAAATTAAGTGCTGAACTTATTCACAACTGATTGAACTAGAATATGATACTCTAACACAAGCAGCTAAACTAGTGAACTAACTAAACGATTCGATAATTGAACTAGAACTAGCAGCTCCAATTCGAATAGATTAAATAATATAGTCAAATCGATGCATGTCTGCGACTTAGTTGACCCTGACATTAACACAGCCTGTTTTACCCTTTGAGCCGGCTCTGAATGTGCCGTGCCACGTGGCACTCAATGCACGTTTGACCACACAGCCACTGCATTGGAGTCGATTGAAACAATGGGCACAAATAGGCGTCGCTCCCGTCTGCATAGCCTTCTCGCTCACTCACATTCGCGCTCGTACCACGTTACGTATGAGTAATCCGGCTGCTGCCACTGCTGGCAAAGCTAATTAAAGGCCACTGTTGTTTAACTCCATGGCCGACCTTGGTCGCCATTTTGACTTGCCATTTGCCGGTTTGTCAACGGAGGTCAATTCTGGCCCTCGTGGAACGTCCACATGTCCACATGTAAATGTGTGTGTCTTTGTAAAAATTGGCAAAGCATTTAATAAGCAAATACAGCCACATAAATTTCAACCCACTGTTTAGCTAAGCACTCAAAAAAATAATAAGCTATTTACTATATTAAGCACAGTCCTTGAGTGATCTTCATTTGTGACGATGGTTGCCTTGTTTGCGATATTTGCCAAAAAAGAAAGCTATCGATATCATATCTGATCATATTTATTTTATACTCCTTTCTTGCAGTGTTGAAAAACTTTAGTTGAAGGACAAAGAGGAGCTGCTAGCGCAAATGCCAAACACCTGATAAAAAAAACCGTAGCTAGAACCCCCAACTGCAGAGCTGTGTTGTTTAATATGTTAAGTTCTACTTTTTATGGCTAAAGTTTCCTTGGAAATGAGCGCATCGAATAACAATTCGCGTATCTGTTATAACAACCATACCAACACACAAACATTCCAATACATACACACGCACACAGACATCGATCAACACCACGCATGGTGCGAACTGTCAGCAGAAAATTATTGTGGAGCTGGCACTAGAGTGCGGGAGCGGTGGCGGGAGCGGGTGCGGTGTTCGCTACTGGCTGGCGTCATTTTTTCATTTCTTTTATTTTGCGTGTTGTGGGGCTTGCGTGATTCATGATGCATGGGCTGGCAAGCTAACTTACTTGCCAACTCCAATGCAACACCCAGAACTTTCGGTGCGTCTATATGTCCGTTTTAATTACTAGAACTGGAACTGTAACTGAAGCTGGCTGGCTGACTAAGGCTTGAAATAGTTTTGAATGTCGCCACTTGACGCCAGTAAGAATGTCAATTCACGCAGGCCCACACACACGCACAACTCAGCAGCGACCTTGAAAATAACTCCCCATCCCTGGCATGAGTGCATGTCCATTTGAAATGGCGAAAAAATTGCGATTAAAATGATTTTCGGCTGTCTCACAGCTGTGCGGCATAAACAAAACAAATGAGCATGAGCAAAGCGGAGTCAGAAGATTGAGAGAGTGAGCGAGATTGCGGGGGCAACATTTAATAGAGAGCACAGGTAGTGGAGAAAAAATAAAGTGTAGGGGGTCTAGCTGTATACTCTCTTTCTCGCGCCGGCGACACGTGCACGTCGCGATGGCGGCGCTACGTGGCGTATACGTATTGCGCTGACGCCGTAGCCATTTTGGCAAATGTGTTGTGAAAACGCATGCAAAGACGAACTGTGTTATTGTTGCTATTATTGCTTTAGCTGCCGCTCGTTGTTGTTGCCGCTGCTGCTGCCTCTGGTACTGCTGATTTGGGGTGTACAGTTGCGCTAAGCAGCGCAGCGTGGCCAGCCCAAAAAGCAAAAAACGCACAAAAAACAAAAGCGCAAAACTCCCTAACCAACACAAAGGAGTCAGAAGGGGGGTTAGAGTTGGCGGGCTGGCATGTTATTGCATGCAGCATTAATGCCGAACCTTGTGTTGGCTCTCTTTCCGCTGAGCGAATGAGAATGACAATGAGAGCACAAACGAAAGAGAGAGAGAGAGAGAGAGCAGCTGTGATGCGGTGGGCAACATGTGAGCGCAAAAATACAAACACAAATGCAAGCGGCGTTTAAATGTGCTGGTAACATGCATAAACAAGAAACCGAAACTCAACGAATATCAAATGCGCTTAAAAATAGTTTGCAGTTTAAAGTTACAAACATATTTTAAAATTTCAAAACGTTGATTTTAAGAAATATCTATTACATTACTGATTTTATATTTATCTCCTTTCAATTTTGATTATACATAACTAGTCAGATTCTGATTTCATACACACTCAAACCCATTATATCTCAAATTGGTACATTTTCCAGCATCCGAAAAGTATGCAATAGAAATTTTTGCAAGAACACATTTTCTTCAATAAAAACCAAAGCTGTAAATACGATTATAAATTTCCATTCAGTTCAGATTTTAAGGGATGGAACAGTGCGTAACGAACAGAGCCTAAAAATCGCAAGGTCTCGAACGAAGGGTAGCGCAAAACACGAGACGAGGACGAGAACGAGAACGCAAACGAAAGCGGACACCCGACAGCAGCAGCAACAGCAAAAGCGAATAAAAAAAACAGCAACAAAGATGTCGGCAACACGACAATGACGACGTTGCCACGTTGCAGTGCCGATTCGCCTCACGCACGCACACACACACACATAAATATAGAAACTTGGGCCAACATCTGGCTCTGCTCCTTGGATTCAGAATCAGTTCGTTGTCGTCAGTCAGTCAGATTAGTTCGATTCCTGCGAATTCCAAACGCCTTCCGAAGCGCAGCGCACAAAGTACACAAAGTCCACAACAAATTTGGAACGCACTGCAAAAGGGCAGTAGCAGCAGCAGCAGCAGCAACAACAACAGCAGAGAATCAGAAGTGTAGCCCACGGCACAGAGTCTTAATACAACAATTAAATTAGGCGAATTGAATTTCTCTCGAACTGTGCGTGTGTATCTGTGTGTCTGTGCCGCGCGTGTGTGTGTGTGTCCAAGTGGCGCGTCCTTGGGGCTGGGCCTGGCACTAAACAAATAACTGAAGCCAAAAAGCAGGCGCCGCACAAGGATACAACCTAAGCCCACACAGCTGCAGCAGCAATCAGAACCAGGCCAACAACAACAACAGAAGAAGAATCAGCAGCACAGTAGAAAATCAATTTTCGTGAAAATACATAAATTGCAAACCAAAAAAAAAAAACAAGTGAAACAAACAGACGGACAACCAAATACCTGCTAAGCACCAATACAGCCGAAAGAATACCGTACAGTGTGTGCAGTGTGCGTGTGGGCGCAACAACAGCAAGCAAGCAAGCATAAGGAGTGGAAGAAACGAAGAGCGAAGAGAAGTGAAGCGCAGAGCATTACCATCACCAACTACTGCACGTCCTCGGCCGCCATGCTGGACTAGCACACGCTTGTTGTTGTATCTGCCGAAGATACACATAATACAAATACAATAAAAGCAACAATAACAAACGCAAAACAAAATCAAAGAATAACGGGCTTGCCTGGCTGGTTAGGCCTGTCTGTGGAGGAGTCGCAGCAACAGCAGCAGTAGCAGTAACAACAACAACAATACCAAATTCAGCTCTTCGAGAATTCTGATGCACATATAAACATAGACGCACATACGTATATATATATATATACTTAAATAGAAATATACATACTAATAAGCATAGCAGCTCTTGCTCTGAGCAGCCTGCCGACATCCTCCATTCATAAAAGGCCTAACCAAACGATATGAGACAACAGTTAAACACAATTTATAATCTATAAATAACTAAAAATCTATATAAATAATATCAACTACCAGGCAACTAAACTTTTCAGTAAAAAAAAAAAAAAAAAACTAGCACTCAACAATTTTAATACCAACCAATTATATTAATAAAGAGCATCTGTGATTCGCATATAAAGAAAAAATTAAAAAAAAAATAACTTATTTTCATACTGCACTTTTTTCTAAAACTGAGAAAAAATTACATTTTTAAAACAAATAATTTGGCATCAAATTAATTAATAATTAAGCTTAAATAAAACCAAACTAATTCAAGTAGCTGGCTTCAGGCTTGACACAAACGCAAAAGCAATCGCTACAACAACAGCAGCAACGAGCAACAACAAATTCATACAAGGTCAACGGATTTAATATTTTTGTAAGTATATATACACATACATACATACATATCAGAATATACATACATATGCAAGTGCACATGTGCATGTCAATTAAAGCAGTGATTTCTGCTCGCCCATGAACATATTTTTATATCGAGTGTTTCCCAGAAATGAAGAAAGCGAAAGAATTAAATTAAGGTACCTTTAAAATACCCTTTAGTTGAATGCAGCATGGTTATGCTTGAAGAAAATGAAGCAACAGTTGGTTAAGTTCGCTATATTTGTTGTTGAATTATTTAGAAAATAGCAGTTACTCTATTAGTCATATGTAAACTAATAGCTATTATACAATATAATATAATATCCCCTTACACCAATTGACAATTGTTAGGGTATAAGAAATTAACGCTTCATAGGCACTTTCGCGACTGTAATTGGGGCAAAAACAAAATTAATTGGCTGGCAAGTGCGATGCGCACAGCGGGTGCCACAGGACCCAAGGGGGAATGAAGGATATACAATGTCAACGATATGGAACTATCTGAGAATTTGCAAATCGCGAATTGCGAGCTGGCTGCGTTCTCCGCTACCTGCTGCGGCTGCCGCTGCGAAATGTCAACGGTATTTTTAACAGCTAAGTAAAAGAAAAAGCTGTAAAGCGAATGGTCTGTGTTAAAGCGAGTGTCCGGTGTCTCGCTCTCCCTGTCAATGTCTGCATTGGCTGACAACAGATAAGAAATACTTATTGTATTGATTTTGTATTTTAAGCTGCATATTTAGTTAGCCTTCTGTATTAGATTACTGTCTCAGACGGATGTACAAGTGCGCAGAGACGTCTAGCACAAGCCAGGGCTGCCAACGCAATTATTAAATTAGCTTAGTTCGGTTCATGGAACCGAACTTTTTGTTCGCGAATCATATTTATGCGCAGAAATCACTTTGTTATATTAGGGATGTATTGTAAAATGCAGGGCTCTTTTACTTGTAACTAGTTTAGTTCACATCAACTTTGTTTGCAGCCCTCAAGAAGTCACAGCGCTGCACCCTTAAGCACACATTTCATACACTCACTCACCTACATCTCTAAGTATTATTCAAGAGCACGACTAATACAAATACTAATTTCCACAAATCAGCAACGGGGCATTAGCGCCCGACATATTTGCCCCATGTTGGGGCGTCGACGTTGGCTTTTGTTGGCTTCGACACACAAATGGTCGTAATAAATATAGTCATAGTAACCCAGTAAAACAAGTGTAATGGTAATGAATGATATTCGCCATTTAGGCCAATCAATCACATCATCAATCAGTCAAGTAGTCAAACCAGCCAGCATTTTTTCTTTGGCTAGTCTGTCAATCAACAAAAAGGGAAATAGGAATAAAACAAAATGCTAGTTAGATGCGGCTGGTCTTGATGGAGGCTATAGCAAGTAAGCCGACTTAACATTGAATATAAATACTCTTTTCGCGTCGTGAACGAGTATAAAAATATATGAAAACAATATTTCTTATCGATTACATTTATATTACTTATTAAATGCAGTAAATATAGGGGACTAAAATGTTTATAATTTTGGCGAATTAATGAGTTTTTTCAACGGAAAAACTGTTTTTTCGAGACTTAACGGGGGAGAAATTATCGCGACTCGACTGAGCTAAGAAATGCCAAGAACAAAATATTATATTTCTCCCTCTAGACATTTTCATGGCAGTGCAGTCAACTGTTTGTATTATTTTGGAAGGGGAAATAGCTCATTACGTATGCGGTTTATAGCAGCTAATATGGTTTGCAAATTGGTTCAATAACGGATGTGCTCACATATTCGATACGTAATGCCAAAGTCTAAAGGATATGGCCATAAATTATAGTATATATATTTTATTAGCCAAAACGACAGCATCATCATCATTATCATCATCATCATGAGCAAAGTTGTGACTGTCAACGGCGTTTGCTTGACTCTTTATTTTGCATATTTGATTTTTGAATTTTGTCATAAATACCCTGTACTCACTGCAAGCGCATTAGTAGTGCTTATGCTATTCTATCTAACACGCAGAGAAAAGCTTACTTAGCTCGACAAATAGTATATATAGATATGACATAAGAGTTACTATCATGCTTATAGTGGTACCAAAGCTCATGCTTATGACAATAATAATATGCATCGATGATGATAATAACAACAATATGTATAACAATATTACTAATTACAATTATCTAGTCGGATACTCCCGATGGTCGCACACTTGGTGCTCTTATAATCCATTCCTTTTGGCCTTGATTGAGGCCAAAACGTGCGGCTTTCATAGAGCGAAAAAGTGGGCGTATTTGATGCAGAAAAGGGGGCACTGAAAAAAACAAACATTCGAGATTATTAAATGCTGCAAAATGTGGCAAGCGACTCATATTCGAAGCAGAGAACTAATGGCAGCTGCAGTTGCCATTATGTTGAATAAAATGTGTGTAAGATGTATACATATATAGAGTATACATAACATAGGTATATAATATATATTCCAGACTGTAGTACGAGTATTTATGGGGTATATTAAATAGTATATATATGCAAGTGTTAAGTTGTCTATGTTTATAGAAGTAAAGGGAAAAGTGATATTTATATAAGGTAACGCGATTAGCACAGTAAAAACGACAAAATATAATTTAAATGTAAATTTAAATAGTTTTTAAATCTAACAAAATTCGTAAACTATTCATTAATATTTAACTGATCAGATTAGAGAGTGTTCGGTTGTGAGGAGCATGATGTACCCATAGTTGAATGTAGTAGGTGGTAACACTGACAATTAACTAAGTAATATCAAGTATCATAGTAGAGTATCTCTAAGTAGGTGTCTTTATATAGTTGAGTATCTCTTGCTTATATAAGTACTTTCATTCATCTAGAGCATCTACCACTCAGTTTCAACTTCCCTCTGACCAATATTTTCTCTCTCTTTTACAGAAATGGAAATCATTCCTGAAGGTAGACACTTTCGTTTGGTGCATGAATCAGAGCTTCCAGAAATTTTGGTAACTTTAGAGCGCTATCTGCCGGAATCATTAAAGGTATGCATTACGTACAGCTCTCTAGAGACCTGTAGACCTCTATTCAACCTCCAGTTGCCACCCACTTAAAATGCACATAAATATTGAGGCAGCCTTTGTTGCATGCCACCGACACGACTCTATAATATCTGACAGCCACGCCCACTTCTCAGGTAATTTGTAGCAACAATTACCTGGCCGTGGGCGTATGCGAGTGTGTGCCTGCCAGCAGCAACCCAGCCAGCCAGCCAGGTAGACCGCATAGTCATACAGAGTCATGCAATCTCGACGACCCATCGACTGATGTTGACCTCTTTTTTGATTTTTTTCAACTGCTTACGAACGATTCATTTCAATTTTTAATGCGCCCTGCAAACGGCTCCTCAAGTTCGCTTTGTTTGTCTGTGGGCGGGGTGGGCCAGGTGCAAGGGGGCGTGCCCTAAAGTAAACTATTTTCGCATATCAAGAATTTTGGAGTTTTGGCGTTGGCCAAAGTTTCGTTTTTTATGCAAAATTCTTTCCATTTTATTTCTGGGCGCGCCTCAAACGACACGTGACTATTTTTATATGCAAATCTTAAGGCTATGTGGTGCGGAAAGTATAAAGACCTTGTCTATAAGGTCAGCATTAACTAAACGAAATCCATTAGCTATTTAGGCCAATCGAAATAAGTATATAATTTGCAGGGAAATTAAAAAGGTTTTACCTAGAAAATTAGTTCATTAAATATTTGATATAGTATATAATATATCCTATTCAAAAGACAATTTGAATTCAGTTTATAATATACATTCGTCGTACACACCAACATTTATTGTCGATAAATCTTTTTTTAATTTTCGATAATAATCGATAATTTTATTGCTTGAGTACCATTAAAACTTGAGTTTTAAATTTACTGTGTAGATGACACTCAGAAGTTAAATATTTTACATATTAGATACTTCCATAAATCCAGAAAAACCTATATGGGTTAAAAGAATAGCTGGGGCTAACTTCTAGTCGGACACTCTCGACTAGAGCAATCCTATTTTTTATAAACTAATAACAGCATTTGTAATAATTTGCTTTGCAGTTTCATCAAACCATTAAAACGTACCTGAATGATCGTATTTGGGACTTTAAGTTTTATGTTGCTAAGGATTGGCCCGAAAAGCCGATAATATTACATTTTCCAGGATGCACGCTAACGGTAAATAGTTATATCCCACACCCATAACCATGGAAATCTTAATATATATTTTATATTTCCTTTCCAGCCGCACAACAATATATACCAAGCTTTTGGCATATTTTGTCCATCCGCACAAATCGAATTCGTCGATCTGATGCGCACCGAAGATGTACTTATAGATTGGCGGAAGCCATTGTACCTGAACTTTACGCACATCGCAATTATGAATCGCCTGGATGAGTTTTATGCGAAAATTGGTCTAATGGAGCGACTGAGCGGTGATATCTATATATGCAACAAGCTGAATACGGAACTGGAGCTGGAACCGTTGCCCGACGATGCGGAAATGCGTTTGCTAACATTGGATAACGTACAAGGCATACACGATCTATATCCGGCCAATGAAATCGAATGCGTGAAGCTATTCGATATACTCGTGCGTGTGCTGCCCGGCCTGGGTATCTATCGCAAGGACACGAACGAGCTAGCGGCATGGATGGTACATTCATATTATGGCGCTATGTTTTCAATGCAAACACGTCCAGATTATCGTCGCATGGGGTAGATAAATCAGATTATTTAGTCTATAACTATCTAAAATCACTGTCTATCTCTCTCTTGCAGCTATGGCATACGTCTGGCCAAGGCATTGACTCAGCTGGTAATCGAACGCGGCTATACACCGTTCGTTGTCATACGTCCACAGAACGATGCGTCCAGGAATCTATATACAAAGCTGGGTTATGTCAAGGCCTATGAGACATGCCGTGTGCGTATGACCCCCGATTGCTATGAGGATAGCACTGTGGGCACCATCAAGAACACCTCGTATGCCAAGTTTCCGCCATTACCTCAGGACGGCGATGAGTTGAGCGTTGTGCTGCCTGTACGCAAACATATACCCGGTGAGAGTCAGACGGTCGACGATGAGGGTATCGAGGATATGTTGGCTGAAAAATGTGATATCAGCAACGATGATGCTAGAGAGCGTAAGACAACAACTGACGAGGGCATAGGCGAGGACAAGTAGAGAGAGACAGAGATGCAGGATGTAGCTCCAAGAGCTGGCATATGACAGAGTTACATTAGAGAGAGTTACAGATTGATTGGTATTGAATGATACATATATATGTCTATGTATGGCAAGTTGTAAGCAACTAGAGCTTGAGAACAGTTGCAACTGTCGATTGTACTTATATATATTCATATATAAAATATAGCAAGTGGCACAAGGGGCATTAATTTTTTAACAATTATATAAAAACAAAACTAAAATGTATATCTATATAGTATATATATATTTATAGATGGTATATGAAGCTTCCTCACACAAAGCGCAGAAAACGAAAAAACGAAGTGTTGGTAAATGATTTATTTTATATAATATAAAAGAGTAAAAGAAGCAAAAAGTAATATTTGTAATGAAACATGCTCTGATGAAACAGATTTTAGAAATGACAAACAAACAAAATGTAAATTTTTAATTTTTTTGCTAAAAATGCTTTTACAAAAATGTAATTCAAACCAAAGGCGAACAATATTATAAATCTATATATATATGAATATATATATATATAAATTCTATCAAATTGTTAAAAAAAAAACAGGACAACTAACACAACTTTTCTCTCTGGCTACACGCAACACTCAGAACAGGTAAAAAGAAAGATATGAATCATTTGTCGTAAAGGAAAAGGTAATTCAAATATTTTATAATGTGAGCCTTCACTTTTTCTAAGCTATATATATTTGAACTGTCTTTAATTCCTAAATAGCTTTGATTTTGAAAGTATGTTTGAATTTAATAGGCTTTTTCAAATTTATATACGAGGTCTGTTCAAAAAGTAACGCGAATTTTTCGTTTTGATTTCTGCGTGTGTTATGTATGAAATTTTTTATACTCATCCCTCATTTATGCCAACAAGTTGGAATTTATAGGCTTTTCAAATTTATAAACGAGGTATGATCGAAAAGTATCGCGAATCCTGAATTTTATTGTATTACATATATTTTATTGTCGATTTTCTATGTGGTTCTCTGTTGATACTCGGTTTCCTCATTCATTTTGGACTGATGTTTAGCTTGGACGTGCTTTGGTTCGTCTTCGATTTTCCCTATTCCAAAAAGTGCAAAAATCTGTATTGTTTCTTGTGACCGGAACTGAAGGGACTCATGAAAGGACGACACTATAATATGAATGAAGACGACAAAGAGCATAGAAGGAGAACAAGAAAACAAAGATTGGGTAAAAACATTGGAATATGTTTATGTAATGGCTGATGAGGCTTACTTTAAAGGGCACAAAATAGAATTTCATGAACTAATTAAACTATTTAAAAAACGCTTAAAATTCGCGATACTTTTTCAACAGATCCAACAAAAAATATTAAAAAAAAAAACAAAAACAAAAACAAAAAAAAACAAATATATATATTTTATTATTACGAAATTTTATTAAACTATGCAAAAGAGTACTCCATATATATATATATATACTCCTATATATATATATAAACAAAAATGAAAACAATATTTTTTATCCATACTAAAAACACGCCAAAGATGTCTTCTGCTTTATTTAAAAGTATTTTACCTAATGCCTGGCAAAGAGCACACAAAATTAAGTTTTGTATTCCCGAAATTGTTAAATTGCCAATTGCCTTTTGCCTATTCTAAAACGAAAGTAAATAAAAAATTAAAAACAAAATCAATTTCCATTCAGAACAAACTCAAAACAAGAAAAAAAAAAAACAAAAAATATACGCAAGAAAATCAAAGTAAAAAACAAAAACAAAAAACGTTATATATTACCAACTGCTATAATGTATGTACTCAACTAAAAACAAAAAATTAAAAAAAAAAACTAAAAGCAAATTTAAATAAATAAAAATATTGAGACAGCAGAAAATTAACAATGTGTATTGATTCATACAGGCACAGTGGGCCAATTTAATACTTGCGGGCAGGGCTCAGTTGGTCCCCATGATCTTGATACTTTGTGAATCTGTCACGCCCTCTTCTGCCTGCACAAAATCATTATACCGGGAATATCAATCTAGTTATCAAATGCGTGATATAAAAGGTTTATTTTCCATGATTTAGTCTATTCTGCTCCACTGTAAGCAATACTCACTGATAAGAATGCGTTCAGATACTGTACAAAATTATCTTATGCTGTTTTACGTGGACAAACAGAAACAGGCAACTTGGCAAACAATAGAGACACGACGAGACCTTGCAGCAAAACTTAAATAAATTAACTTGATTTTTATAAATGTTGTATATTATCTAACATGGTATGTATTTCTGTAAATTACGAAAAATATGCCTGAAGGGAAAGCGCATACATTAATTGTACATAAATTAAAAAACTAATCAAATCCTTCCGCTTGCTTGGCCAGCTGCATCTTCAAATGTGACGCCACGTATTGCCAATATTTGCAACGTATAACATCGTGTTTGCTAGCCATATCCTCGCACATAGTATAAACCTTTTGGGCACTGCTGTCACTGTTGTCTTGCTGTTTCGTTTCCAGTGCCTGCTCCTGATAGAGATCAATTAGGAAGGCTAGCAGATAGGGTGAACGATTGCCGGCATTGTATAGGCCCTGGCTAAACTCGACTACCTCCGGCTGGCTATTGAGCTTTCCGCTTTCGCTTTGTCTCAGTACTCCAACCAAAAAATTCCATGGACTCTCATTATTCTTGATGACGCGTATGCGATTCATGGCATACTCGACTTCTCTTTTGATAATCTCTGGGGTAAAACCAAAATGCTTGAGCACGAAGAAACGTTGATTCCAGGCCGAATTGTTGCGTGGATCCTCGCAAATCAAACGATCGACAAAGTCCAGCTCGTCGTCATAGAGGCTACAAGTTAACTCATTATAATTTGTATAATTCAATAATTGCAATCGGTGTATACTTGAATGTGCGTATGGCCCATTGACGATGCTGCCAAGCATGATAGTTCTTTGCATTGCCATCATTGTCTAACGCATTCTGTGTCAACTCCAACTCCCACTTGGGACAATTCATCATTTCGACAATGACCCGTCTGTGGTGCCACACTTGATAGTTCTTGGCATTCTGTCCAATAACCTCCTCCAGATAGTCCAATTCATCTTGCAAATTGGCTTTCAATTCCCGCAGTATATCACGTCTATATTGCCATACCGTATAATTGGCTGGATTTTGACGCAATGCTTCGGTGGTCAACTCCAAAGCACGTTGCGATTTTTCACCTTTGGCAATAATGGCGCGCATGTAATCAAATGTCTCACGAACTGAAATATTGAATAAAATGTATATATATACATATTCTTATAGTTTATAAAAAGTGCATACTTACACTTCGGAGAGTACGCTATAGAAACAACAGGATTGGGTCCATCATCCTGTGGCAGCGGCGTTATATCGGACCATTCGGCACGTTCGCTATATGGCACCCATTCGGTGTGCAGATATTCCTCATCTGAACTATCTGCCATTTTTTGAGCTAATAGAGCGCTAACAAGTGCACAATTGGGCAGAACACAGTAGAATGGTGGTCGACTAGATATTTCACGTCAAAATATTCTCACAGGCACTTTGGCTTTAAGAAATGCAACAGCTGACTCACGTACCATTCACTGTACTACACTTCACTTTATGTCATTCACGGCGAATTTCGCAATATCGATAAATTTAATTTAGGACCGAGACCAAATTATGATAGACAAAATACACAAATAAAGCAGAACATGCTGTTTCATTTACATTTTTAAATGTCTTAAGTTCTAATCTTATTAATCAAAGCGGATTTAAAAATTTAACATAATGAAAGAAAATCTGATGCATATATGACACATGTTTTATGTGTATTCTTAATGTCTGTCACCGTTAAAAACAACAAAGTCATTTTGGCTTTCAAAATGCAGCAGAATGGCGCACAATAGGATTATTTAATATAAGGGAAATACCTCCATAATATAAGTGATTCTAAAGCTAAAACTAAAATGAAATAAACAAATTAAGCTTTGATAATCCTTATATTTATCTTTTAAAAATAACTAACAATTATATGAAGGAAAAGTACTCTTTAGATAAAAAGAGGGAGTAATTTATATTAAAACTTCATTATTTTTTACATTAATTACCGCATGGAAAAAATATGGGAGGGGTATGGGTATTGAGGTCGTAAGGTTCAATTTAACAGATGTAATTTCTGTAAATTGGGTATAAGCCGTAAAACTAAAATTTGGATACAGCCAATTGTGTGTATGGTTTAAAATCTAGGCATTTCTGTATGTCTGACTCTTATATATACAAACTAAATTCTTGATCAATCCTCAATACAGGGGCTCGTTCTCGATTTTAACATCACACTCGACCATAGAACTATGAGCTAGAAAATCGTTTCCCGAACTATATTTTGTTGTCTCACTGTCATTTTCATGACTATAACTGCTAGTTGCTGGTGCTGGGATTCGTTTTGGTAAGCTGGAGGCGCCTAAATGTTCCGCCGACTGCATATCCTGCTGATTCATCTCCATCAGCATTCGACTGACCTCTGTACGAAACTTCATGTTATTTAAACTAGATAACGTTTTTACATGTGGCAGCAAACTGATTAAGAAATTATAATCGGGATCGTCTTTGGCAGGTGATTCCGCTGTGGCAGGCACTGGCGTCGACTTTCTGGTTGTCATATAACCATTTTGATAGGTTCCATCTGTGGAGGAGGATGTCTTTCGACGTCTCGCACGCTTTGCCGCTGGTGCTTTGGGTAGCAACGGAGATAGCAGTCTGGGCGAGGTTTCCATGTCTGATCTGTTCATGGAGAAGGATGTATTCGACACATCACAGTTTTGTCTTTTGATCAGCGACATATCGGAGCTAGAATCGTGCATTTGTGAGTCGACTGGATCACGCTTAAATATATCACCCATAATATCAAAATCGAACGAATCGTCGTTTTCGACATCAACAATAAAGTCATCCAGCTTATTTTGCTCAAAGTCTGAACAATACGTATCCATGTCAAAGGGCACCGGCGAGAAGGAAACCAAATTATCTGGATCGAATATACTACGCAGAAATTCCAGAGCTCGAAAATATGGCCAATTTGAGTTTTCGTTACGCTTTTGTTGTATTTTACGTATTTCCGAGCGATAGCTATCACGCAATCCTTTAAAGCGCTTCTTGCACGCTGCCACTGTACAGTAGAAGTATACATTAAGAATAAAGCTGACTAAATAATAAAGCAGGATTCATTTTGCTTACCATCCAGTTCCATTTTGTTTGCCACCTCCTGCCATTGCAGAGCGCCAACATCCTTGCGTACACCGAGCTGCATTGTTGAATCCCAAAGAGCACGACGCTGTCGTACCTCATCGATTAGCCGAAAGTTATCCAATTTCATTTTTTAACGCTGGATCTAGACCCAGCACAATATACAAACTTCTTTGGCGTGTAAACAAAAATGCGAATACGTCAGGGCTGCCAAGGTCACAAAGTTTTAGCAGCGGACGTTATCACGTCGGTACTGTCAACAATCGTAAGCTGACTATTTATTAAGTTGTTATTCATTTGTTTATACACAAATGCATACAAAATAAAACAACAAAAATAAAAACTACTCTAAAATCAGCGTCTTGCAGTTCTGAGTTTTTTCTTCCCGGCTGTCAACCCTGCAAAAGCAGCTGCCGCGTTCTCAATCATATGATCGACAAGCAGCGGATACGAAACAGAGCTGAAGGGCTGTCACTGTTAGCATTTTACGTTGGTACAGGGATAGTATTAATGTACAAACGACAGATCTGTATATAATGAACTTTAGAATAAATAACTATAAATAAATATCGAGGCTGTTTTATGTAAATGGTTTGACGCATTCTGACTTTTCAAAAAAAAAAAAAAACAACTGAAGCCCTGGCAAATCAGCGGCCGTTGTGAATCATATGTTTGCGAAACAGCAAGAACGAAACAGAAACAAAGTGAAAGAAACAATACTTTAAGTTAGACTTGCTTTCCTTGTCCGGCTGTTGAAATAAATTACAATTTAATTACAAAAACAAAACGATGCAGCAAAACGACGAAGTCAAGGATGATGATTTGCCTGCGAATACGCTGGAGCACTTTGCCGAACTGGACCAAGTACTCGCCCTTATAGAAAATATGAAGTCAATACAAGCGAACGCCTTTGAACGTGAATTTGAACAATACACAGAGGTGCTCTCTCGCTACCAGGAGCAACCGCACCTGCTTGATCCCCATCTGGAGCTTCTGTTGACGCGGCTGTTAAACAGGATCAGACAGGCAAACTTAGAAGCTGGGGAACGCGATGCAGCTTTTAAGTATTTGTATGTGATTTGCAAAGTTCGCACATATAAAGTTTTGGTTAAATTCATGCCTCATGAATTGACCGATTTAGAATTTGTACTGCAACTGCTTAGCGAACAGGATCCCAAGAAGTTTAGCAACTGGGAGACACGCTATATGCTTCTACTCTGGATGTCAATATTGGTACTGAATCCCTTTCATATGTCTCGACTGGATGCGTATGAAGAAGCTGCTCCTCTGTCTCTTAACAATTGTAATCATGATGGTCCACGGACTCCCGCAGTCATTCCCAAAATGGAACGCATCTATGAGCTGTGTAAGCTATATTCCTCTTCGAATGACACCTGCAGCAATATGGCTGCCTACTTGTCCGCCAAGTACTTTGTACGCAATGACATAAAGGATTTGTATTTGGAGCGATTTCTCGACTGGATCATTGAGCAGCATCAAGCGGACACATTACAGGTGAAGTTTGGTCAGCTGGCTGCCGTTGCATCTATATTAAAGCATGGCAAACGAGAGGACCTACTGCCCTATGCGGACAAGCTTCTCCAATGGATCGTAGGATGCCAGTACAAGGATGTCAATGATTTTCTTAAATATAAATACTACATAAAGATTGTGCAGCGACTGGGATTGGTGCAGCTAAAACCGCGCATCGCCAGCTGGCGTTACAAAAGAGGTAAACTAATTTATAAATACTTAAACTTTTATATAATCAAAGTTCCTGTTCCTTAGGCACTCGCTCGCTGGCAAGCAATTTAGCTCGTCAATCAAACGCTGCGGGAGATTCCTCAGCTGGTCAGGCCAAACCCGAGGATGATTCCTCTGCCGAGGAGATCGTAGTGCCCGATGCTATTGAGGAGGTCATAGAGGAGCTTCTCCAAGCTCTGCGCAGTGGCGGCAATGATATACGATGGAGTGCAGCCAAGGGTTTAGGTCGTGTTACCAATCGCTTGCCCAAGGAGCTGGCTGATGAGGTAATTGGCTCTGTTATAGACATACTCAATCCTCTGGAGCCACATGAGGCTTGGCACGGCGGTTGCCTTGCCCTAGCAGAGTTAGCCAAGAGAGGCTTACTCCTGCCTTATCGTTTGCACGAACTTGTGCCGCTGCTGATGCAGGCGCTCTTCTATGACGAGATGAAGGGGTACATGTCTGTAGGCCAGCACATTCGAGATGCTGCCTGCTACATGTGCTGGGCTTTTGCTCGTGCCTACAATCCGGACGATCTAAAACCATTTGTTCATCAAATCTCATCTGGGTTGCTCACTGTGGCCGTGTTCGATAGGGAAATCAACTGCAGACGCGCTGCTTCGGCTGCTTTTCAAGAGAGCGTTGGACGCTTGGGCAATTTTCCATATGGCATTGAGATATCCACAACTACGGACTTTTATTCCGTCGGCATTCGACAGAATTCATATTTATCTATTAGTGATTTTATTGCACAATTTGAGGAATATCGCCAGCCTCTTATAGATCATCTAGTGCAGCGCAAAGTTGGCCACTGGGATTCAGCTATAAGAGAGCTTACAGCCAAGGCGCTGCACAAGCTCACCTATCGAGCCCCCGAGTATATGGCAGCTGTTGTCCTGCCTCAACTCCTGGCTAAAACGGAGACAATCGATGTGAATGCAAGGCATGGCTGCGTATTGGCTATGGGCGAGATAACGTTGGCTTTAAGGAATCTGGAAAGGGCGCCAGATTCTAAAGTTGTTTACCTATCCAATCAGCGCATTGCTGAGTTAAATGATCTCGTTAAAACTTTTCTGGACCGCAACTTCTATCGAGGCATGAGCGGCGAATTGATGAAGTTCTGTACTTCAAACTTTATACGTAATTGCAGCGTGGCTCAGCTGCCTGTTAACTCGGATTGTCTTGGTTTGTAGAGCACATATAATAATTTATAATTATTAATAATGCCCTCTCCTTACAGCCAGCTGGCAGCACGTCATTGACCTGTGCCTAATCACCAAAACGAACAATATACGCGATGCTGCTGTCGAGGCTTTTGCGGACCTGTGCCTCTCCTTTTACTGCTTGGAATCGCGTTCAGCTCAGAACGAGCGCATTATCCAGGCTTACCTAAGAGGGGCTGACAACGATCTAGAAGAGCATATGCGCATGGGTTATATTGCTGCATTGGGCGTGCTGCCTGCCTTTATACTGCGACAGCACTTAACTTCCATTGTGGATAATTTAGTAAAGCATGCTCTGGTGCCTCACTGCGCATACGAAGATCACGAATCGGGGCAGACCTACAGATGGAGCGAGGCGCGCACTCACAGCGTTCAAGCGCTGAGCAAAGTGGTTAAAACTGTTGGATACGATTCGTCCTTATCGTGTTCATTTGCGGACCGGCTGCACTTTGATAAAGTGGTTCAATGTCTGTTACGAGCTCTGGATGAATATACTTTGGATAATCGTGGAGATATTGGTGCTTGGGTGCGCGAGGCTGCGATGCAGGCACTCTACGAATTGGTTACAGAGTGTCCAGCAGATCTATTAACGCCACTACATGTGCAACAAATTGTGGTTGGTTTTATGCAGCAGTCAGTGGAGAAAATTGATCGTACTCGCGGCTTAGCTGGACGTCTTTGTTGTCAGTTGATCCACACAGAGCCCGCCATACCTCACATATGTGACCATCAGCGATTGCTCGAGATCTTTCCGAAGGATGAGAAGTCCGTGTTATGGCTTTTTGCCGATCAAACATTCCCGTTATTCTGCGAACTGCTGGCCTTGCCGGCCTATTCGAAGCGCGTTCTACTCGGGCTTTCAGCCAGCATAGGACAGTTGACTGAATCTCTGGTGAGAATTAGATAGTGTATTTTCAGTGATATAAGGTCTTTATTCCATTTGTTGTTATTGCAGATCAAATACTCTTCTTCTGCACTGTTCCAATTTTTGCGTTCCCATCAGGAGATGGTGCCACGTCTCTGCTCAGAGATTGTTGAGATCTTTGAAAGCCATCTTCTGAACGAGCGTGTGACCTATCCCATGCTCAGCTTCTTGGATATTCTACTCGGCTCGGGCAGCATTGAGTCGGTTTTGCACGATGAGGATAATCCCTTTGCTGAGGATATTTATCGCCTACTTAACCTGGAGGTCAAGGGCTATAGGAAGCTGTATAAGACAGCAACCAGTATTAGCACTTTTTGTCAGTTGCTTCAAGTTCCTCGGCTTAGCAAAAGAGTACTTTCCAAAATCTCCATATTTCTCGGTCTACAACATGTGCACGTACGCAAGACGGCAGCAACTAAGTTGTACGAAGCGCTGGCGCTTCACGGCGATGTCACTGAAATACCCGAAGAAAATATGGATGAGATTTTGTCTCTGCTGTCGGAAACGGATTGGACTATGCCTTTGGTTGAGGTGCGACCGTTACGAAATGAGCTTTGCAATTTGATGGGTATTAAACCACCGGTTAGTGGCGCAGCTGCTGCTGCCAACAAGATGGAAATTGTGGCTGACAAATAAGATAAAAAGCATACTAATGTACTTTGACGTATCCGTCAAAAAATAATTTATTGCCTTTCACAAAATAAAATTTAGATTCAAATTCCAAATGCGAAATTGTCATACGACGTTAGGCAGTGTTGATAAACGTGGATACAATACACAACTATGTGATTTATCCGAGTGAGATCGAAATTTAAGAATGTTTGGTTATTCAATAAGCTAAAACTTATATACATTGACTTAACTGTTCGACTACTAATAAACAAAACTAATTTATTGTCCAGCACAAAAGTAACGAATTTAACAAGATATTTGAATTGTGAAATGAAACAAATGTACGTCAGCCCTCGTTGCGGCGGTACGTGAAAACAAAACGCACAGTGTTGATAAACGCACTTACATGGACACTGCGTGCATGTGTGCAAATGTTTTATTCCGAATGTGTGTGATGTAAATTAAAAGTCTTTCTAATTTCGCATTTAAAATATATCTGTGCTAATACTCGAGTCATATTTTCACTGAGAATTAATTCACATATCGAACAAAAACACGACGTTTTTTATTTACTAAAACAATAATATATACATTCACGTTTATACTATTGTTACACAAGAAAACCCAAATAGATTTAAAAATCTTGTTGTTGTTGCCTTTCCCCCCTTTGAGACAAACACATTACGATACGAATCGAATCGGTATTATGAGCATTTGGAGTGTGAGATGTTTGTGTCAAAAGTTCTGTCGACAGGCGCATATATTAGCCAACAGACGAATCATACAACCTGCACATCGACTTCCCCAATCGGTATATGGTAAGTGGAACAGATGGACCAGGAGTGAGGTTATGCTCGATTAGCAGACCGGCATGGATTTTTTTATTGAAGTAATATTTATTGTATTAAAAATGTGCATTTCCTATTGCAGAGATCAGCCGGCCAGCCCACAACAGTTTGTATCAAATGGTAAAAAAACGTACGCTCGAGGCACGCTCAAAATTACAAGCCAATAAATATCCGAATCAGAATGCCTGCATGAAAGTGGCCCAAAATGTGGAATTTATACCCGATCTAGTTGACGATGTTGCATCATCTACTAATATGTCCAATATAAAAAGCTCCCAAGTCAACTTCTCAACCGCTGCTGCTGCAATGCAAGAACCACAATTTCGAGTGGTATCAATATATTCAATTATTCATTCATTCCATTTGATTAGCTTTTCATACGTGTTTAATATATTTCATATATGTTTGAACTCTCTTTCAGGGCTATGCGGACTCTCGACCGTTATCCACTGCACAGGACGTACTAAAGTCTTCGCAATGCGAGAAACCGTCAGCGTTGAATGTGGACAAATCTGATGATATTTGCAAAGATCCTTGCGAAGAATTCCATCGCCTGCGCCGAGAGTCCGCTATATCGCGTGGAGGCAGTGGAGGCGGTGGAGACGATGGTGATGAAGAGAAGGCTCAGGATGATAAGCTAAGAAAGCTAAGATTGCGATGCATTATTTGTGCCTTGGCGGCGCTTTTAGCCGGTGGCTTCGTATGTCCCTAATATATATAGAAATTTATCAGAAAATAATTATTTGTAATCAATTACAGATCGCCTGGTTTTGGTCACGTCGTAGAAGTTTTGACGACGATCGCGAGAGCTCCGATGATGCTTTAAAGCGGGCCAAGATCTCTGGCTATATTACAAGTAAATAACAGATGAGAACTGAACTAACCAGTCTTGACATTGATTTATTATATCCTTTTAGCCCCTATCAGTTCAGATAAAATTCCGGCGCATGTTCCATATGTAATTGTGGGTGGCGGCACTGCCGCCTTCTCCGCGTTTCGTGCAATCAAATCAAATGATGCCAAGGCTAAAGTTTTAATGATTAGCAATGAGTTTCGCAAACCATATATGCGTCCACCTTTATCCAAGGAGCTTTGGTATACACCAAATCCCAACGAGGATCCCATAAAGGATTACCGCTTTAAACAGTGGACCGGCTCAGAGCGCAGGTGAGCCACTAAATAAGCTAACCATCTCTATATGTATATATTGACATTGAAATGTATCTACTTGACAGTTTGTACTTTGAGCCAGATGAATTTTTTGTAGACCCGGAAAAGTTGTCAGACAGCGTAAACGGCGGCATATCCGTAGCTCAAGGGTTTTCTGTGAAAAAAGTGGATGCACAGAAACGTATTGTAACATTAAGTGACGGCTATGAAATCAGTTACGATATGTGTTTGATTGCTACTGGCTGCTCGCCCAAAAATCTATCCATGTTCCGAGACGCCCCACCCAGTGTGCAGGAGAAGATTATGGTTTATCGCACGCCAGACGATTTTGATCGTCTGCGTCGGTACGCACTCCAGAAGCGTTCGATTACGATCGTCGGAAATGGTTTCGTTGGTAGCGAGCTAGCATGTTCGCTGGCCCACTACTCCAAACAGAATAAGGGAGGCAAAGTCTATCAGGTGTTCCAAGAGAACGGCAACATGTCTAAGGTATTGCCCAACTATTTGAGCGAGTGGACAACACAGAAGATGAGGGATCAGGGCGTTTGCGTGATAACCGAAGCCAGCATACGCACAGCCACACGCGATGAATCACAATTGAAGCTGGAACTAAATAATGGCATGTCTCTGTTAACTGACATTGTGGTAGTCTGTGTGGGCTGTTCGCCAAATACTGCAATGGCTGGTGCCTCGAAGCTGGAAGTCGATCGTGGCTTGGGTGGATTTGTGGTAAATGCCGAACTAGAGGCACGTCGTAATCTGTTTGTTGCCGGTGATGCATCTTGTTTCTATGATCCACTGCTGGGACGCAGACGTGTCGAACACCATGATCATTCTGTGGTATCGGGACGACTAGCTGGCGAGAATATGACCGGAGCAAGTAAGTTACGAAAGGAATATATTCATATATGAACATATTTTAATGTACTAACCACATCCACAGAGAAACCGTATACCCACCAGAGCATGTTCTGGTCCGATTTGGGTCCAGAGATTGGTTACGAAGGTATTGGTCTCGTGGACTCCTCGCTTCCCACAGTAGGGGTCTTCGCAATACCCTCGAACAATGAAAAGCGCTCGGACTGCCATACAGAGGTGCGTACAGATGCCAATGCTGAGGAAAATCTGAAAATAGTCAGCGGACCCGATGTGACCTGTAATTCGAGCGAGTCGCCAAATTACGGCAAAGGCGTCATCTTCTATCTGCGGAACGACAAAATTGTGGGAATTTTATTGTGGAATTTGTTCAATCGCATTGGACTCGCACGCACGATAATCAATCAAAACAAATCTTACGAGGATTTAAATGAGGTTGCCAAACTATTTGAAATACACGCGTAATAATGCGCTCGAGAGAATATGTCCTTAATCAAGCCAAGCCAGCTGTATATATATGTTATAGAATGGATCCAGAAGCTACCGTTGTCAATGTCGTCGTCGCCGTTGTCGTCGTCGTCGTCGTCGTCGCCGTCGTCGTCGTCATCGTCATCACCATCGTCGTCGTCGTCATCATCATAATCGTGGCCACCCTACGTTCCATGTCAGTAGTTAAATGCATACATAAATCCTAGAACCATATGTATATATATATATATATACATATATATATATATATATATATGTGAGCATATGTATATGCATAAATAGCAGAGACACAAAAAGGCACAATGCAACAAAAATTTAGTGTTAATTTTATTATTTTGGAATAAATAGTTGATTTTTTAGTCAACACCCAATTGAGATGGTGAATTGAGTACATCTGAACTGCTCGATTGGATTCAAAGAGGGTAAATTACAAAAACCAAACCAAACCAAATCAAGCTGAATAAATATGTTTATTAGATTTATCTCTGTCTATATATACATACATATATATGTGTACAAGTTTACTTATTTTGACTCTATTTCTCCAGTTTTTCTTCTTTTTCTGTTAAGAGAAAGATTTATTATTTAATTCATAATTGATCAACTTTGTACTTGATATAATATGTGTACTTTATATATAAATATCTTAAATATTTATACAAATATTTAAATATTTATCTATATTTAGTATTATGTTATATTATAATGAAGTTTATAGCACCATTGGAAAATCTGTTAAATAGTTTAAAACCAATGCTTACAAACTATTAATTTAAAAGCTTAATTTAAATTAAGGCTTACAAATAAAATTTGTTAAACAAGCACCTTAAATATACATTTATATTTTTAATTGTTATATTAGAATTAGATTCAACCAGGTCTGAGACAAATCCTTAGACTGCATCCAAAACATAACTTCAATATAGTTCATGTATGGATCAAACATGGTTCTTATCACATTTTATATAGGGAAATCCTTGGACAAATTCAAGTTATAAATAAAACGTGTATATAATCTGAGTAACTGATTTCCAGCTTAATTTTATTATCCTTGAAATGTTTTATACCATGTAAGGCGACATAAGACATATGCATATGTTATGCTTACCTGTCAAAGTTGTCCAGATGTCGCGGATTAGCTCACTTATTAGTGAACCCGAGCTAAGAACCAATTGGCAGGTAGCCTCACGCAGTCCACTTCAACAGGCGGTCAGGTAAATCCTTGAGCTCTCATAAAAGAGCCAAGGGCAGTTAGACGAATCAACAGTTCAACTCAATACGTCAACATGAAGAGTCGCATGGCATCCTTGATCAAGAAGACGGGCAAGCCGTACAGTGAATCAGACAAGTTGCCCTACATCAACAACTATGGTGCACTCGAGCTGGAGGCGGCTGCCGCTTTGCTAATGCTTCGCTATCAATACGAAATCAAGGCAGCCAGCGACAAACAGACAACGCCGCCGCAGACAACGGCCACGGGCACAGCAGCAGCAGCATTTGAGTCAATCGTCGAGGAGTCCACGCCGAAGGAACCGATGCGTAGTTCCATGACTGCTGCATCACAGCCGCTGAAGAAACGCAGCATCCCGCCGCATCTGCTGCGACGTTCGCTAACACCAGCCAAGGCAACGCCCCCACCAACGCCCACGCCTAGCTGCAGCAGCAGCAGCAACAACAGTGTGGCAGCTACTGGCGGCAGCACGATAGTGAAAGCCAAGCAGAAGGTTACTTCCTCAGCGGCATGCAACAAAGCGTTGCTCAAGTCGTGCCGCAATATGATACGCGAATTCCTGGACAATCAAGAGTTGATCTAAAAGACAAAGACAGGCTGATCCAACAGAAGATGATCTAAGAGACATTCAGTTGCCGATCTTAATTGAAAAAAAAACTATCTAAATAATACCAAGTGATCTAAAAGACAGGCAGCAGCTGATACAACAGTAGCTGTTCCAAAACACAATAGTCAGTTAAACATACAAGCACAGAGAAGTTGATCTAAATTTCAAAAATTAGCTAAATAACACAAAGTGATATAATAACACAAAGAAATCTAAATTACTATAAGCAGTTGATCTAAAGACACTAATCGAAAACAATCATCAGTAAAACTAAAAGACTACAGTAGCTGATCTAAATTTGTAAACTATCTAGCATAGATTGATCTAAAAGACAATCAGTCGATCTAAATTGTAATTCAAATCACAAATGTACTAAAATGCCACCAGTAACTGAACAGCAACTGTTCTGAAAGGCAACCTACAGCTGATCTAAAACGCAATACAGCTACAGCTGATCTAAAAGTCTCCCTGGCAATATTTGTAAACAATTGTGCTTCGGAGTTTTGATTTCATTTATTTATTGCATATATAAATTTGTTTCATTACTTGTTTTTTCATATATAATATGCTCTATATATATATTATATATATCTTTTTTTATATATCATATCGAAAGATAAGGTATTTTTTTAATGGAAGAACAGGTATTGTGGCGACACTAAAGTGCTAATTATTAGCTATTGGCGGTGTTTAAACTTAAGCAATTAGACGAATGAAAAAACAAACAAAAATTATATTAATTAAAATTAATTATATATATATAAAGTTGCATATATATGCAAGTATTTACTTAATAATTAATAATTACAGCTTGTAAAATTTGTATATTAATTATAATTATAATTGTATATGTATGTGTGTGTGTATTTCATAATTAATAAAGTGCCTTTGAAAATGTACAAAAAATTAATTTCTTTTCAATTTATATTTTTTTGTTTTAAGATCAATTTATGAACACCTTTTTTGTAGCTAAAAACTAAATACAAGTACATAAATATGCATGTGTGTATGTGTGTTTGTTTACAAATGGAAGCCAATGTTTTATAACTAATAGAAATTGCTTTGCCAAACAAACAAACTAAAAAAAACTAAACTGTTTCAGTTTTTACCTAAAATTTCTTTACATTTTTTCCTCTTCAGTTATCACAATTAATTTGTTTGCTTTGAAATAAATGGCTACGAAATTTTTCTCTCAGTGTATATATATAAATTTTATAATTAACAAATTTTCTTGTTTAGTTTTCGCTTTTGTTTTTTTTTGTGTATATTTTCTAACAATTTTTTTTTCCATTTTGGGTGAAACCATTTGTTGAGGCAACATTGTAAAGCTCAAAGGTGACAACACTTATAGACTAAGGTGTGTGTGTGTGGGTGTGTTTGATTTAAATTTAATAATTGTTTAATTGTTGTTTAGCATATGTAGAAAACTTGGCACATAACTCTGTAAAACTTTGAAAGGCTGCGCTGCGCCGCTCACATACAAAAGTGAAAAGAAAAACTACTTAAGATACATTTTCCATATTTATATAAACAAATTACAATACAGGTGTGTGTTTGTGTGTGTGTGTGGATGTGTATTGCATGCGTATGTATGTGTATGTGGCTTATCTATATATCTATATATAGCTTATGCCTAAATATGCTTTTCATTTTGAATTTCTAATATTTAAGGCTGCAGACTAAACTATACTTAAAGCCTAATCAACACACACACACACACATGTACAAAAGGTGTGTGCGTGTGTGTATATATGGTATGTACAACAATTTAATGAGTGTGAGTGTGAGTGTGCTGTTGGCTGGTCCCCTTAGGCAGCTGCATTTATGTTGCTCAGGTAAAGTTTTGTGTGTGGCTGATTGTCATAGAGCAGGTGAGTGCATGTGTAGGTGTAGAGGTGTGTGTGTGTGTTGTGGAGCCTAATGCATATGCCTAAATGCTGCCTCCTCGCTGCCATTGCATTCGCTATCCATGGGCACAGATGGAGGCTCCCGCTCTCGCTCCCTTTCCCGCTCCCGTTCCCTCTCCCGCTCGACTGCATCCATGGGTCTAGGTGAGCCGACAGCGCTGTTGCTGCCACCTGAAACCGCAGTCAGCTGTTCGCTTGCCTCCGCCTTGTGCTCCGACTGACGTATCAGCTTAATGGTAGTCAATCCATCCGCATTGCGTATGAGCCTGCAATAGAGGAGTTCCAGTTGGGTAATTAGCATAGTTAGCAAAGGCAGCGTTTGGCATCTGCAACTGCAACTGCAACTGCACTTACGGATAGCAATCCTCATTCAGATTCGCATTGGCATTGGCATTGGCATTCGCATTCGCATTCGCATTCGCATTCGCATTCGCGCTCTTGCTGCTCACACTCAAGTCCGTGGGCTTCAGATCCTCGCCAGCGCTGTCGTTAGCGCTCTCCAGCTTCAGCGGATGAAATTGAAACTTGTCGCCGGGTGCCGAGGCGGCGGCGCCAGGTGTTAGGCAAGCAACCGATCCAGGTGAGTTGGGCGGCGGCGCTGCCGCGGCAGCGGACAGAAAGTGAAACGCGTGCATGAAGAGCGGCGATGTCGGCTGCGGTCCGTAGCCAGCAGCCGCGGCAGCCGCAGCAACAGCTGCTGCCGTTGGCAGTGCCATGGGCGGAGCATTTCGCGATGCAGGGCGCTGTGGCGATTGTTGTTGCTGCTGCTGTTGCAACTGCAACTGTTGCTGTTGCAGCTGCAATTGTTGCTGCTGCTGCTGCGATTGTTGCTGCTGCGACTGCTGCTGCTGCTGCTGCGCCTGCAGCTGCTGCTGTTGTTGCTGCTGCTGTTGCTGATTCCAACTGCTGGCCGCTGGGCTGCCCACCTGCTCGCCAGGTGACGCCGTCGTTGCGGCCGTCTGCCTCAGCTGCGATATATTCTTAATGTTCTTCAGCTCCGTGGGATTGCGCAGAAATTGATAGCAATGTCGCTCGCCCTGCACCTTGCGCAAAATGTTGACACGATAATAATATCGCAGAGCGCGCGACATTTTGTCGTAGTTCATCGATAGATGATTCTTCTGGATGCCCCACAGCTTGGCCAGGCCGGCGGGATCGACGATCTTGAAGACACCCGTGTCGCGGCATTTCCAGGCAATCAAATCGCTGTACTTCTGATTCCGATCGTTCAGCAGCTGCTGCAGAAAGTCCCAAAGGAGACGGCCATCTATGAAAGCAAAGTATCGATTAGTTGGTTTATCGATAAATGGAATTTGAATTCAAATTGAAATTGATATTAAACAGAATATATATTGTTGATAGACTATCGGTTGGTCCAGTTCCAAAGTGGAACAATGGCAAATGAAACATGTCGAAGTGCATCACTAGGTTAATCGATAGCACATATCGAAAACGGATATATGGACATATTTTCATATGTTCATTATAGTATATTAGCTGGTAAACAATTGTTTGCATATTGAATACAAATTTTGATCGATAACACTTTTGAATATATCGATAACTAAAGCTGTGTTTAACCAGCAAACACTTAAATATTATATAACATTTTGCTAGCGCCAGAGCTACTTTTATACAACACATGTATCGATAAATCGATAGCTCGTAGTGTTCAAACATCAACAATTTATATCGATAACTTTTATATATTCAAATTCAAATTTTTCGTTTCACTCACTTGTATTTGGCTCCGAGTTCTCTGGAAAGAACTCCCTCTTCACTTTGTACATATAACTGGGCGTGGTTGGGGCTGATATCGAGCCGCCGCCAGCAGCCACAATCGCGCCTGCCGCATTCTCCAGCGTCAATTTCTGTGCTTGTTGCTGCGACTGTTGTTGCTGCTGCTGCTGCTGCTGTTGTTGCTGTTGTTGTTGCTGTTGTTGCTGCTGCTGTTGCTGCTGCTGCTGTGACCAGGAGCTAACAAAGCTGTTGGTCAGCTGTTGTGTCCAAGTGGGCTTCAAGTCCTTGTGAATGGGCGTGCCCGGCGGACTGCCTGCGCTGTAGGAGAGCGGCGCAAGAGGCAGAGCAGCTGCTTTGCTATTGCTGCTGTTGTTGTTGTTGCTGTTGCCGTTGCTGTTACTATTATTGCTGTTGTTGTTGCTGCTATTGTTGCTCTGATTGGTTGGCTCGGCGTACTCCTCCTCGGAGTCGGAGTGATTGCTGCTGGCACTGGACTGAATGCCCTTCATTGGCTGCACACAGCCATTCAATGCGGATCCATTGCTGGTCGTGCTGCTCGCACTGGAGGAGCCAGCAACAGCTGCTGCTGCCGCTGCTGCTGCTGCGGCTGCTGCAGCTACAGCACTGCTCATGGCTGCTGCCGAGGCACCTGCACTCGAATATCCTGAAGCCGATTCCGGCGGACTGCTGGCCTGCGAGTCGACGGAGGGCGGCGGACTGAGGGTCACCGAGTTGGGCGCCATAAAATGATGAGCGGCCATGTGGGCGGCCACGCTGCTGCTGCTGTGGAAGGGATTGTTGCTGCTGGTGTCAGCACCTGGCGGCGCATTCAATGGCGGCCAGGTGGGCGTCGGCGGGTGGCTGTGCGGTGACAGCGGATAACGGCCGGTGGGCGTGACGGGGCTGTTGGGCAAATGCCATTGCATCATGTGCGATTCAATGATCAGCATTTGGAGTACATTGTGCAGGACATCTCCGGCGCCGGGACAACGATGACCGAAATCTGTTCGGGTCAGCAGGCACAGTGCTTTGCCATTCATTTGGAAGAGATCAAAATCAAGTTTGGGCAAATCGAATTCACGCACGCAAAAGCGCAAAAACACGAGCACATCGTCGCGACTCCAGAGACGCGGATCTGATGGCAAGGATGGTGGTAATTGTGTCTTAAGCTCAGCCAATTGGCTGGATGGGGGTGGGGGGCAACGCCACATGACATCGCCCCAGATGTTGGGATTGAGCGGATTCAGTGATAGCTGTACTGGAAGCATTTTCATTTTGGACATGCAAACGCCACTAGATTAAAAAAATCTGAAAAGAGAAGAAACAAATTTAACATTAGTAAAAGTTAGAACGTATGCATAACAATCACCCTATATACATAGTATATATTACCACATACAAAGTCACCCTGTATACACACATTCACATATGCATGTATATGCGTCGGAAGAGATAGCACTCAATCGCATTCCAAGCAAATCAGATTTCTTCATAAACAAATCAGCTCAGCAGGCAGCGCTACAGGCGCAAACCAGCTGAGCGAGAGAGAGAGGGAGGCAACACGCAAAGCGTGAGTCAGAATCAATATGCAATACATTCTCTCTCATTTGACACTAGCTCATTTACTGTAATAGCGGCATTTACTCTTATTCTCCTTCTCACATTAAAAAACACCCCCGCAGGAAACGATCAAGTGAAAGCTTTCCTACTAAACAACTGACTTTGACATCACTCTCTGCACGGCGGTCTATGAACTAAAATTCTCTTCTGGGTATCTTTTGATTTCACAGGACAGCCGTTTATAGTTTACACCCAAGAGAGCTTTCACTAATGTCTATACATACATATGTTTATACGTACCCTGTATGTGTGTATATACGCAAATGAAATTAAGCTTTTTAATTGAAAATTGCTCAATATGGTAATTGCCATAAATATGTGCGTTGGCGTCGTCGTCGTTGCTGGCTTCGACGCTGACGCTACTATTCCGGATGTGTACAAAGCAAACACCGACAAGCAAATACATGTGTGTGCATATACAAATCGACAACACATGGAGCCCAGCACACATACACACATACACAAGAGCAGACACATACCCATGCATATCTTTAGCGTGATCGCTGTAAGATTTCAACATAAACGAATGTATTGATGCCGCAGCCGTTAAGGTGGGGGTGTCTGCGACGGAAGGTGGGGGGCGCTGCGTGCTTTAAGAAACTTGAAAGCCGTGCCCATTTAGGCTTGCCGGGCATATCACTGCAGCTACAGCAGCAGACGAAGGCAGCGGCAACAGCAAACGGAAGTGCACATTCCATACACAAAACCCGTTTCAAAAGCAGCAGCGGGAGCAGCAACAGCAACAGCAGCAGCAGCGGGTGAAAGATGTTGGCGCAACGACGACGACTAATAAATCCGCCAGTGGGTAAAGAGAGCAACAAGCCAATTTTCAAGAAGCAGCTACACAGGCGCACCCTGTATTTTGGCCGCGCGTTCAGACGTTGCCCAGTTGCACATACACTTACACATATAGACGCGCGCGCACATTAAAATTTATCTCATCGCTCTCTCAGCAGCAGAACAGAAACTTCCTCATTCTCCGGGAAGCATTTCAACAAGTGAGCAAAGAAATTTACTTAACCTATAACTCACAAGCGTGCAAGCGAGATGCCAATAGACGAACTGGGAGAGCGCGCGTGAGCAATATATTTTGTTTGCATGCTATTGTTGTTGTTGATATATTTTTTTGTGTTGAGCAAGAAACAGGAGAAGGCAGGCATAACAGATGAGAAAGATGATGATGATGATGTGATGACGATGATCACTACCCGCACTGTGGGATATACACATGTTTATTTGTATGCTCATATATATGAATATGTGTATGTATATATAAATATATATTTTATTGTGTACATGTCTTTTACTTAGAGGGGGTCTATTTGTTTTGTTTAAGAGGTGCTGCTGCCCTCTGCTGATTGTGTACACACATACACATACACACATAGATGTACGCATATCTGTGCATGTATTGTATTGTCTGTATGTCTGGTCGATCCTACGTGTTATTTTGGTTGCCGCAAACAACATATGGTTTAATTTGACTAAAATAAATTCATATACAAAGTGTAATACACACATGTTGTTCGCCCGCTCCGAGCAACAAAATATAACAACAACAATTACAAATAAACATTCAACCAGTCGGTGGCACGTAGTAAAATGACAAATGAATGTTCATCATACCAAAAGGCAGCAACAATAACAACAACAGCAACAAAGTGAAAGAACGCAAGAGCAGAACACAAAACGACGCGACGCACGCAATGCGAGAAGAATAAGAATATAAATATACACAAACACACACACATACACTCGGTCGAATGCGTATTTGTATGTGTGCGTGTTTGTATTCTAAATCTCAGCCAGCGAAGATGACAGCAAGCGACGGCAACGACGAAGGAGGCGCGGCTTGGAGGAACGAACACAGCAGGCACAAAAGGTAGTGGGAAAGGAGAAGAGGCGAGGGGGAAGGAAGGGGGCAGCAGGCACAGGTAGTTAGGTATGCGGATGATGGCGAACCGGTTTCAACGGAAATTACAAACGAAAAATTATAAAACGATCAGTTTAGAAAAATGCCAGCAGCAGCAGAGATCTCAATACAACAACAACAACAAGAAAGGCGACAGCAAATAAGAAATGTAAAAGGTAAAACTCGCATAGGAAACTGCAGCGTGAAGAGAGAGTGAGAGAGTGGCCAAAGGAATGTTTGTATACATGTGTATGTGTGTGTGCAAAAGAATTTTTGCTTATGCAGAGATTTCCGCTTTGAGCGAAATTGCCTGAGTGCTGCGTGGTGAGGCGAGCGGGTGGGCGACTTGCTACGATACGACTGGGCGTGTGGGATCGGAAATGCCAGACAAGGAGAATGAGGTCGTTTGGAAAAATGGCCAAGGAAATTGAACAGCCAGGCAGGCGAGCATCCTGTGTACTTGCCGATAATTTATCGATTATTTATGCGCACTGTTGATTTCAAAATAATGACCTTGGTAGTTAAAGCAGATTTGTGTACAAAATCTTATCGATAATTGATTGATTTAATGATTCGAATGGCTACAGAAGTTAACATGTTTGGAATCGATTCGTAAATAGAGGATGGAGCAATGGATTAATGACTTAACAATATTATAATATAAAAAGAATAGATGTGAAAATAACATAGATATATAAGAAATATAAGCTATTTCATATATATAAAAATATGGATCAATAGATTGATTCAATTCGAATTTCTTTATTAATATATATTTTTGTATTTTGTAAACTGTTGCTCCACTAAAATCCTAGAAATACGTACAATTTTAAATACTTTTTTATAACGAGCAAAGTTTTGAAATTTGATACACTCAAAATTATATCTACCAAAAATTCCTACCTAACTGTTAATTGGATTGTAAACCTCTCGATCATTGTCGAGTGCGTGCTTAGCAAACACTTTGTTAGTCGTCTTCATGTGCTCAGATTAGAAGAGGAAATACGATGCAGACATATGATCTATCAAAGGAGCAACTCGAATACGTCCCTCCCTCCCTTTCTCATTCTCTGTCCCCCTCTCTCTCTCTCTCTCTCTCGTGCAGTGATTCACGCTTAAAGTGCAATCGTGTTGCCCCTGCTGCCGTTGAGAGTTAAGTTAATGAGTAATTTCCGCAGGCACATCCTACCCCCCGCTGCCGACGCCACTGGCTGTGTGCATCAAGTGGCTGTGGCTATGGCTGTTGCTGCTGCTGTGGCAATGGCTGTCGCTGTTGCTGCTGCGCAGTAGAACGAACGATGAGAAAAATAAGAAAAATCTGATAACATAAAAAGGCAGAAGCGACAGCCGCCACGGCGCATTAAGATTAACGGCCTGTTCGAATGCACAGCTGCAAGGCAAGGAGAGAGAGAGAGAGAGAGAGTGATGCTGCGCTGTTAATGATGGCCGAGCGACCCCTCAGCGAGCAGCACCAGCAGGTAGTCGAGTGCTCAACAGTTGAGTGGAACGGGAAGGAGAGCAGGGAGAATGGGCATAAGGAAATGCGTACCTGCGGATGCACTTACATCTTATAGATGCTGCTGCCGCTGCGTCTTCTTGGAAAACCTCCTCCTGCCACTGAGCTAAGGCAACAAAAGCAATGCGCCTGTGTGTGTGTTGCCAGTTGACATTTGATCTCTTTTATGTGGTCTTCTTCTCCCTTTATTCTTTATCAGCTAAACAGTTCTCAAGTGCTCTTAGCAGAAAACAACCCTTAAAGTGGATGTACATACATACATACATACCTACATACATACATATGTGCATTGGTATACGATCTGAAGCCTGTGCATTGTTGTTGCCTACATGAAATTCCTTGAGCTTTTGGTAACTCATAAGAAGAGCAATGTAAAAGTGGGCTATTGTGCTCGACTAGAACATACCCTGTCGCTGTAAATTGATGGGATAATATTAAAAAGTCTTTGAATTTGAAATTTCTTAACAAATTTTGAAATGTTTTGAACATTTCAGTGCATCAAGCTGACATAGAGGCATCACTTTTAATGTAAATTAGTTAAGTTTTAAAAGCTCATCATTTGGGTATTAAAGAGAAGTCACAATAGTATGCGTCATCAACATAACACAATAGATATAATAGAATATGAATAAGAATAGCTATTCCCATCCACAATATCAATTGAAATCAATTTTGAGTTGAAACAGCTCAGCGAACTTGTAGATACATTTGATCACCCTTAATCGAATTCAAGTTGATTTCAAGTTATCGATTACATTGATACAGTTACAGTTATGTTGCACATTAACTGCTTTAGTTCAGCATACCCTATGCCAATCATTATCAATTAACACTGTGATCATCGTGTGTTTTGCACGTGTCGCTTTTGTATTACAACAATACACCTATATATACATATATATATATATATATATATATATATATATATATATATATATATATATATATATATATATATATATATATATATATATACATTTGTATAAAATTTACATTTGCTAGATCGTTTGCCATATTCCGGCATATCGAATACTCAATTAATAAGCACAAAAAATACAAAACTCAAAACCAAGTCAACGACCTGCTTTGCTTTATAACTGCTCAAAGTAGAGAGAAAAAACAGCGCATATATTATAGAAGAAGAAATATACAAAAAAAAAAAAACAGACACGTAAAGTAAAGCTCGAAGCCTAACTCCCCCCTCGGAAAGCGCGCTAACACAGATATAGATATACATATATATAAATATATATATATATA